TCTTCGGCTCCTTGTGAGCCTCCTACAGCTTCCTCGAGTTCACCTGTGGTCGTCGTCACACAAACTTATGGAACAAGAAATAATGAAGAAACCATTAATTCATCACTGCTAAAAGATTTAAGTAGTAAATGAATAACCTACAAAACATAGATTCACAAGAAACTAAGATCAGTATGTTGTTCACAAGTTGATGGATAAATAAGATTTAAACAAACCATTACGAATCACTTTACTTAGAAGGTTATCTCTAAAGCGTTTAAATGAATAGTCAACATATTGAATGCATTGAGCATGTACACGTACACGTATTTGAAATACTGCTTGTCTATCTAACAACTTAAGCTCCATTTCAGTAAAGTGATAATTATTGGTTAAATCACCTATCTTCCACTGTATTGGTCAAAGGTTTGCATAAAATTTCATCTCCTTCAGCCTCAGTAGTTGAGTTATATCACTAACCTTCACACATGTATGGCTCAAAGTGTTATATCCTAGTGAAGATTAAATTACGGGTAACTTCCTAGGACTATTAATGGACTAATATTCTACAGATGTTCTTATTAATAATTAGATTATGCATATTTATATTCCTCTTATTATAAGCTTCATTTTGACCTATAATTTATTATTGTACGACTTAATGTACCTAAATTATGCTCAGTTTATTAACTACTGCCTCCCACGTTCCTATTTTATTGGTACGTTGCGGTCTGTTTATTTGATATATAAACACAGTACGTTTGAAATATATGATTCGCATAGTGGAAGTTGGTATTTGGTGTTCTGGACTCAAGTGTACGGGCTAGGCGGACATAGGACCAATAAGGAAGTTATGCTGCCCATACCGGTTGGATGTCATTGGTTTGGCACAGTGGTAAGATTGTATAAGTCGTATTTTGTTTGGTGAATAGATCACGTGATAAAAAGTCACAACACAAAGCAGAGTATATACAATTGTACATGTTTATTGGGTTACATTAATCTAGGTTTTCTAAACTATTTCATCAGTTTTGACATTGATTGAAACTGCACTTTTCTTCCCATCAATTATTACAAATATTGTCACTTTTAATGTTAGCGTCTAAATATATACACTGGGAACATTTAAAAGTAATTATAGAAGGTGATTAAACAAGTCTTAAGCGCTTTGATTACTTCTTTGTATAGTTAGTCTACACAAGATGATTCAAACTGCAGTTGTCTGTAGTTTTGCATTGAGCTATCGATGGGGTATATTTTATCGTATTATATTACTACTTAAATTGAAGTCCTTATTGAGAAATATCATATATAATGCTTACATTGTGACAAGTGGTACAAGTTGTCCATATTTAAGATTAAGAAAATCAAGACTAGCTAGATTAGATAGGGTTGTTAGTCCCGCACTCAACCCTTCTTCTTTATTCGAGTTTGGGTCAGGAAGTAATCCTAGAAGGGATTCAGGTGGAGTTTTGATTACAAGAAACGAATTAATTTATCATTTGATTGAGATTCAAAAAGTAAATAGTTCGTGGTACTATTTGAGTCATTTCTTGCATATATCAAATGCTATAGATATTCGAGTCAACAACCTAGCCTGCTCGAGTTCGATCAAGTTTTATTTTTATATGGAATACTAGTAAATATCCAAAACTTCATAATTTCATTAAAATTGGCAACCAACTTGTACAAAACAAGCAATCACATCTCATAAATTGATTATATTTTTATTGTTTGTTGTTCAATCAATGAACATAAAGAACTAAACTATTTTGAAAGACCGAAGTTCCTACGTTTGAATCCCTTAGGTGCGGGGTCGTGGTTGTGCACTGTTGAGAAGTCTCATACTAGGATGAGACGGTCGTCCATTGCTTCCAGGTTTTCAAAGATGGTCTAATATTGATCGATTCATGATCTCAATCATAACTCAACAATCTCCACCACCCTATACTGATGCTTTGAAAATAGTTAATATTTGAAAAAAAATGTCGGTTACAACAGTTGAACAATGATGTTTTTAATAAATTAAATACTTTACATAACCTTTACGGTATTTACTGTTACAGACTGATATTAAATGAAGAATTAAGGAAAATCAGAGAGCACTGGTTAGGTACTTTATTTTAGAAACCTAAAAAACAAGCGGTTAGTGAAATGTAACGAAATTCATATTGTAGTGAACGACATCAGTAGCACAGACACCACAGTATAGTTCACTTCTATCTAGTGTTTGTACTGATGATTCTGTTTAAAAGAAAGGCGAAAACTTCCCGATTTGGCTAACTAACTCACAGAATGAGTCACTACATAAAGAAGATATAAGATACTTGTTTTCGATTATTTAATAGATACCTACTGATATAGAGTCTAAACTAAATAGATATATCCAATTCACTTGGTGTCGGTTTACTTATATCTTCCCATTGTTATTCAGGACTGCAATTGATCAGTCTCATGTCAGCATATGTGCATCCTGTGAGAATTGTCTCGATATAGCTTTGTAAGCGAAGATAGATAGTTGTTAGCAGTGGAATCCAGGACGCGCGTTTCGTCCTATTTGCGACTCGTCAGCTGGATATATATTTGCATCTCAAAGTTGATATTCACTCAGGGACTTGAAAACAGTACCGTTCGCTTCAAACGCCATCACGTTATCTACTTAGCTACTGAGTCCTGATAGTCAATCATTCCTGGTTTCGGAATATTCTCTGGTTGTTTTCAGTTTATAAGGAATAATAACTTTAGAAATTAAAGCATTTTACAACTGGCATCTAAAAGATTTATGATACTAATCGTTGAAAATGTTGAATATTTTTTTTAGATCAAGTCAAGTTATGGTTGAGATATTCAAAACTTGAATGTAACCAAATAATTTTAATTCTAGTTAAATTACTATATAAATAGTATAACGATTGTTATAGCAAGATTACATAATTCATTACTGTATATGCAATGAATTAGCAAACTGTAAATATAACGCATCTGTTTAAGTAACTCAGAGAACATTATGGATTACATTTGCTGAAGAAAAAGGCCTTACCGTTAAGATTTAGCAAACAATCGAATCAGTCAGTACTATAGGGTTAAAGGGTTACAGTAAAGGTATAAATAACTGAATGTTCATAACTGTACAGATCATTTAGAAATGGTTAGAGTAATCAATTTCATAATGGTACTTAAGACAAAAAATGTAAGGTTTAGAATGTTGTTATTTATTCATATACTATAGTTGGACAGATTAATTATATTCGGTAAGGGAGGACTACGATAAGTCAAACGATTAAGGTTGTTGGATAGAGTAGATAGATATGGAAAAGCAGATAAAATTGTAGAACTTTTAGGATATAGTCAACATACACTTTATCGATGTGGCTAGAGAAAGAAAGATATTATTGATCATTGAGTGAGAACTGAAAGACACATACTACGGATTGTTTAAGTTTGTAATTTCCTACTTACTATAGATTTTTGCACCAAATGCACTGGCACGGCCGAGAGTGAGGAGAGTCAGCTCTCCCTCTTGAAATGCTCTAAAATGTCCACGGGTATACAGCCACTGCCAGGGAAGTCCTACTCACTGCCTTCCTGCAACGGGGGTGTTGTTCACGCAATTGAGAGGATGAAAGGCGAATGTCCGGCCCTTTAGATGGGTTCGTGGATATGGAGAATCCACCTAGGGGAGTTAGAAAACCCTGATTCCAATCTAATGGTGCACATTAGCTCCACGATCCTGATGGAACAAATGGCATATGAACCTATTGTTGGTCACCATCTACCATGGGACTGAATTTACTGACGTTGCTCCACTGCCGTTTGGATCAGAACTTTAGCTTGAAGGCTCCGGGTGTAGCCCCTCAAGAAAACCACCTGCTTCGGTCTGAGCACCCGGGTAGTATCCTAGCCCATACAGAAATCAGGTGACTTGTGTGGCGCATATCTGTTTGATGCCCCTTTTTTTCAATATTTATGTGTTCAAATAAATAAATAAAACTGTCAGTTTCTACTCTGCACTAACTGAATGTAAAGTGCTTATAATTGTATCGAATAAAGTATTGTTTATCCAATATTGTGGTTCTCTATATTCGGTCGTGAATCTGAGATATAACGTCATGATCCAGTCTATGAATAACCTGTAGACAGATTATACGATCTAGTAATAGTATAATTTCGGTTACAGTTTTTATTATCGTATAATAGTAGTATATTGCTATAGAGAGTAGTTATTTTCTTATTTTACTTTACTTTGCTTACGCCTGTTACTCCTCGTGAAGGAGCATAGGCCACCCACGAGCACTCACCATCCAACCCTGTCTTAGGCAATCCTTTCCAGTTCTTTCCAGTTGTTACTCAACGTTTTCATATCTACTTCTATTTATTGGTGAAATGTGCTCTTTGAACTTCCTCTTTTCCGTTTACATTACTGTTATATTATTTATGAAATCTAAAAGAAGAAACAAACTAAAACTCATTTTTCAAAATAATTTCGCGAATTGATTGAAGTTAGACATTAACACCGTTGAATGCTAGCCGGCTCAACGGTCCAGCGGTTAAGCGCTTGCACGTGAGATTGGTAGGTCCTAGGTTCGAACCTCGCGAAGCGGTATCGTGGATGCACTATTGAGGAGTCCCACGATAAGACGAAACGGTCATCCAGTGCTTCCAAGTTTTCCATAGTGGTCTAGCTTCAATTGACTCATGATCTCAACCATTAAAATGACTATAATATCCACAAAAACCCTACCGATATAAAAATAATTTTAGACAAGTCAAAACTAAGCCACATTCATACTAAATTGATCATGGAATACTCTTTGTTCCTGAAGTGTTGACTTTTTTAAGTGATGAAGTCCAACTTGACTGTACTCAAATCTTATGGAAACCAATTATAATCCTTAAGTATTACACATCATGATATTAACTTTAATGATATACTTGTTTACTAGTACTTACATATGTGCCCATCAATCGAATTTACATCCAGATTGTTCAATGTACAGGTTTTCAGCTTATTTGTTTGTTTGTTTGTTTGTTTGATTTCGATTATAAATTATATCACTCAGATACAATCAGTATTATAATTGATAGCAACAAAAACAGAATGTTGTTATTAATCTCTACCTTAATGTTTGTTGTAATGAATGGTAAACATTTTAATCACTTACTTTTTTGTAATTTAATTAGTAGAGATTAATAGTGTAAAGTGTGAAGAATATGCCAAGGTAAGTTATTTCTGTTTATGTTAGTTATTTTGATGAAGTTTAAGTTTTCTGAACTGGATGGTTTGATCGTGAAGCTTTTATCGTTTATCTGAACAATATCATCAGCACAAACTTTAGGTACAAGTGAAATGTTCGAATTTCTTCACATATGGTTCACAGTTTGTCTAGTAGATCTCGATATTGAATGGTTCTTGTTGACTTTAAACCTGTCATTGTTTACTTCTTTGTTTTGATTGTATGATTTTTGGTTCTGTGTTTGTTCATAATTTTCCTGATTGACTGATAAACTGGGTCGATTTCAATGTGCTCGTTGATTGGTGATTGAACTGAGTGCCAAGCTTCTAAAAATTCTCTGGTGTTTTTGGAATTGCCTCTGTTCAAGATTTCCACACTTTTTCAGTCGAATGTGTGTCTGCATCTGTCCACGTGTGTTGATATTATTTGCTCACTTAATTAATTCATTACGACTGTTACTCCTCGTAGAGAATCAGTCGTCAACCAGGATTGTCCAAATAGCTCTGTCCTGGGCAATCCTTTCTAGTTACTACTCTTTTAATGTCTGCTTTCAATCCTCGACACAGTGTGTTCCTCGGTCTTCCTCTTTTCTGTTTTCCTTCAGGATTCTAAATTAGGGATTGCGTCGTGGTTCAATTTGCTGATTTCTACAATGTATGTTCTATACACTTACAACATCTTTTCCCAATTTCCTCTTCAACTGGAAGCTGGTTTGTTCTCTCCCACAGAAGGCTGTTGCTGATGGTATCCAGCCAATGGATGTTGGGTATCTTGTGTAGACAAGTATTTATAAATACATGTAGCTTATTAATGATGGTTGTAGTAGTTCTCGAAGTGTCAGCTCTGTGAAGTAGGACTGTCTTGAAGTTCGTATTGAAAATTGTGACTTTGATGTTGGTTGAAAGTTGTTTTGAGTTCCATATGTTGTTCAGTTGTAGGAATGCAGCCCTTGATTTGCCATTCTCCACCTTTACATCTGTATCCGATCCTCCTTCTTCATCGATTATGTTTCCAAGGAATCCACATCTTCCAGGGTTTCGCTACCAAGTGTGAATAGGTTGGTGTTCTCTGTGTTCTATTTGAGGATCTTGGTTTTCCCTTTGTGTATGTTGAGGCCTACTGATGCAGAGACTGCTGCTACACTGGCTGTCTTTATCTGCATCTGTTCGTGTGTATGCGATAGGAGGGCTAGGTCATCTGCGAAGTCCAAATCGTCTAATTGGTTCTGAGCTGTCTATTGTATGCCATGTTTTTCCTCAGATGTCGAGGTTTTTACAATCCAGTCGACCACCAGAATGAAGAGAAAGGAGTAGAGTAAGCGCCCTTGTCTGATAACGGTCTTCACTTGAGGTACATCTGTTTGACGCACGTTCAAATTATTCATATTGAAAACTCGTCAATTTTTTCATAATGTAGACGAATCTTCCAGTATTCCGTAGTCGCAATGATTAGTTTGATAAAAATAAAGTCGTGTATAGAGGTCTAAATAAATTGACCTTCACTTGATGACCCTTTACATATAGTATCGTTATTATTTGACGAAAACATAAGGAAAAAGGTCTCAAATTATTACAAATTATATTTGGATCGTCTATGAATCTCAACTCATAAAGTATTTGTCGTGATTAACCTATCTGTATACCTGAAACGAAAATGGGTTCCTGTAATGATAATATAAAAGCTAATTACAAACAAGGAAGTGCAAATAACAGCCGGAAGTTTCGTTCAAAATCAATAATGACTATCAACAATCACGATCGGGGCTATGAGCACACAAATATGTAAACTGTTGCATTTAAACAAAGATTCGCAGAACGTACAAAAACTGGTAATAATTGTTACAAGGTTGATGGAATGTAATTACAATGATCAATGCAGTAAATATGAATAATTTATGTATTACACAACGAATAAACATGTTGGATGCCGGCTCATTGGTCTAGTTGGTCAAGCGCCTGGAGCGAGAATGACAGGTCCAGGGTTCGAATCCCGTGAGGCGGGGTCGTGGGTGAGCACTGCTGAGGAGTCACACAATAAAATGAAACGGCCGTCCAGTGCTTCCAGGTTTTCAATGGTGGTCTAGCTTCAATTGATTCATGATTTCAACTGTTGAAATTACTACAATCTCCACAAAAGCCCTTCTGATACGAATAAACATGTATCACATTATGTGCTGAAAAACATTAGAAATCCAATTGTCCTCCATTGTATTGTCTGTTCATGAAAAGGAGGCATTGTCTTTGTTTGAGATTAAAATGTTCTGTTCCTATAACACAAATTTCAGAAATGCAATTGTTTACTGATTATTAATAAGTAGTGCAGCGCAATAGACAAAATTGAGTTGTGTTATCGGTTCAAGACAGAGAAAGCAAAGGAATTCAATAATTTTGTTAAAAATTGTTCTTTTTTTGTTATTTTTCTTTTAGAAGTCCATCTTGAATACGGACCCACCTGACTGTCATTTTCGTAAGAATAAATTCATTGCCTATTTTTATAGTCATCATCTACTTATTTTAACTTCATATTAGATTGAATATGGAATTAGATTAAAATTTCTTATTGAATGTCTGAAGTAATAATCAAGGTTCCATTGAATGAAAATAACTGTCAATTAAGGCATAAGAACCAACTTTTGCTTGAAAGTGTTCAGAGAATCCTGACAGTATTTAAGTATATAAATGACTGAAAGAAAAAATACCTTAATGTTATTAGATGTTAAATCAGATTGACTCATTAAACTTGTTTATTAATGAAATGTTGATAGAATACTGTAATAATTGAACTCAATGAATGACGCTCCACCATAAAAAGAAAACATTTTCCACAATCTAATTTACTACCGATCAGAAACCAAGAGTTATTGGATAAATTTTGTATTCAGATTTGTGATTGTGTAATAATATAGACGTAAGGTATCACAAGGAACTCAAGTAGGAAGCGATAACCGATGGATTCTATCAAATTCGGAGTGAAACAGTAACATCAAGTTAGTTCTATGTTATAAATTGACTGAAGTTATAGAAGTGGACAATTAAATTTCATTTGATTAGTCGAAAGTTATTGCCCTTAACACAAGACCTAACAATTTTGTGTTTGATTTTGTCCAGGATTGTAGTTATATACTTGTATAATGTTCTTATCTAGAACAAGAAATTCATCTGGTGTTAACTTTCCTTGAATAATTCACTAAGAGATATAAATTAAGATATTATTTATAGATTTGTTATATTTACTTTTGTTTAGGTTTTCATGTTAACTAGGGTCTAATAGTTGAATTCATGAGTTAAGTAAAGCTAGACCACCATGGAATCCTCTGGAAGCAATGGATGACCATTTTGTCCTAGTATGGGACTCCTCAGCAGTGCGCATCTACGATCCCTCCTGCAGAACTTGAATCCAGGACCTATCGGTGTTGCGCGCGAACACTTAACTAAAATTTAGTTTGAAAATAAGTGAACGTTTGTAAAAGTAGAATTGATGTTTGGACCAAAATTACTGATTGTTTGTTAATTCAGACTAGTAGATAGTCTAACAGGCACTAGATAAGTTATATATTCTCTTACCCTTAATATTCTTGTGATTATTGTAGGTTTTTAGTTCTAGTCAGGCTAGTCACGTGTTCTTGATCTGAGCTGTATTGAAGTCCTGTAGAATCCACACTGGGAGGGTATCTAGTGTAGATATTCGTCTAATTCAAATCAGCATCCAATTCGTGTCAAACGAAACAAACTGAGAGTTATAACACAAGTTAAATAAGATTACTTCAATTTACACAGCATGAAATGTTGTTAAAATCATTAGTTAAAAAAGTCTGTTACTATATCAAGTAACATTTTACAAAATACTCTGGTTATTATCTATTGACTTATAAGTAGTGGAAAAGCGTTTAATTTTGATTTGGTTAAGCAATTCGAATGTTACCTAGTTTGACAAATAGTCAAGTGCTACGTATGCCAGAACCCCGTTTACTACGACGCACAATGCTGACTAAAGTTGAAAACCGTTGGAAGAAAGTTAAGGGAGGCCAAACCAAAATGTCGCATCAGTGCTTGACGTCACTAACCTCGAGTCTGAGCCATGTTGGTAGATGCAGACTACTTGATTGGGGTTCGCGTGACTGTCGTAATCAATGGTTAGAGACTCTGGTTGACATGGTTCAGAATCGATCACAATGGTGTTGGTGTATATACTCTCTGTCTTCCCTTAAACTATGAGATTAAAATCACTTCATATCTTTCTATATACCAACTAATTCTTTTCTCCTGTACTATATCCTTACATGAAATCTTTCTTTTATATATTACCACCTCTGAATTAACTAATTCTATGAATCGGGTGTTCATTTTTTTGTGTTAATGAGGTATGGCAACTTCAACCGATGCATAAGTGCCTGGTCCTACGTTGTAGCTGACTGACATATAGTCGCTTTAATTTTTCTTATAAACTATTAAAAACATTTTTATAAATATTCCTTTTTTATTTCTAGTTTGTGAACTTTGTACTTCAACAGTAAATGCTACTAAATACATATTGGATAATGAACCATTTATACCGAAGATACTTAAGAATTTTATGCCAATTTGTTATATGTTACCAAAGTTACAATATCGAAAAATTGTATGTTTTAATCAAATCAATTTAGTTTAATCGATTTTTTTTCTTGCATATTGTTAAGGTATATAAACAAGTGGCCTTTAAGTTTTCGATGGAGTTTCGTTGTGTGAAATGGATGGTTTGGTCGTGGAGCATTCATCGTTCTTTTGAACGACATCATCAGCAAACTTCTAGCTGAAGTATGTGATGATGATGTCGTTCAGAAGAACGATGAAAGCTTCATGACCAAACCATCCAGCTCAAAGAACGAAACTCCATCAAAATCATCCACCTGAGCTACAAATGTTCGCCACCATCTTTAAGTTTACTTCACTTCATAATGTAACACTGAATTGTTGTTTTGTTCTAGTATGAGATTCCTTAATAGTGAACACCCACGACCCAATCATAGTGTGTCGAACTCGAAATCCTAAAATCTGACTTCAGGTACTTCACCTTTAAATCACTGAGTTAATATACAATGGTTTAAAATTCTAACTACAAAGGTTAAACACTTATTGTAAGACCTGAAGATCCTTCGGCTAAACACTTTGCCAGGTAGTGGATATGCACTAATGGAGAGCCCCATACTGGAGCGAAACGGCCATCATTTTTCGACTTAATTAGGTTAGTCTGTGATGTGAAATATACTCCTTTTTGGAGTGGCTCTACTAGGATGCATAAACGTTGGCTACTAATTTAGTCGTTAAAGAACACTAATCGAAATATATAGGACCTGAAAACATTGAAGCTTATTATGAAGAAGAATAACAACAACGAACAGTCAGTCAGACTACAAATCTTAACCTGGAATTCATGAATAAATTATTCTACCGTACAAAACTATTCTTTTCCTCATAAATTGTGGTTGATGTTTGAGTCGCACTGTGGTGTGTGCTACTGATGTCGACAGATATAAGTAGAATGCATCACCAATAAAAAATGTCTGGCGGCATAAGGTTAAGAAAAGAAAAGAAAGGAGAACAAGAACAAAGAATGATTGATGTGGAAACGAAAGAACAATAAAAAATGATTGACATTTTCCAAATGAATTATTTACTGTATGATTCTCAGATTTTACTAAGGGATTCTGTAACTTATAGTTCAAATACATTTGATTATTCCCACTTATGTTCACGTTCACTACACCATATGCAATACTACTTCCCTTTAGATTGTAGATAAAGCTTTTAACTAAACGACAACCTGACACAAAAATCAAATCAAACAAGGGTTTGTTGCTCAACTGATGCTTAAACTTAAGCCTGTCTCCATATTACAATTTTTTAATGGATAGCATTCAGTCAATGCCCTAGACAAGGTAAACATGAAATTGATTATGACTTAATAGTGATTATTCAATGTAACTACTATTCTTTATTATTAAAACTTATTCTTTTGTGTGTGTGTGTGTCTCATTATCTACGTTAATTCCATTCGGTGTAGTGTTATCATCTTGTAGACGGTGGTGCAGTTGATATAATTCATGAATTGGTGAATAAAATTAATGAAAATAACTTTTGTTTTGTAAGTAAACACTCTTTTTTTTCTCTTTATTGTTCATATCAATGAAACCAACTTTCAATGGTTTTAATTAGACTATTATTGAAAAGGAACAAGACCTAGACAGTTGTTTCATCCTAGTATAGGCTACTTCAGTAATGTACATTTAAAACCTTAGCACAGAGGATATAACTCAAGAATATTTAAGTCTCGCGGGAACCACTAAGTTGGTAACCAGTGGTTTATATCTCTAGCTTGTTATCATTATGATGAAAATAACAGAATATATAATCATCAAATGATTAATAAAGTTATTAGATGAATGTAGTTAGGATTATACAGTAGATGAAAATGTTTCAGGGTCACTGTTTATGGTAGGAAAAAGAAGAATGTATTACAATTTTCTTCTCCTTATATGTTAGATTAGAGATGATACATAACTATAGCCTGTGTAAAATGAAGTGTAGGTAATGTTCCGTATTTGTTAATTATTTTAAGAAACGATTTTATTGATTAGAATAATCAGTTTTAATCCACTGAGTTGCAAGTTGGAAGATTACTCCTGTTTATGAATCTGGGCACCAAACATTTTACTATGTTGTTGCTACTTTGACGTGGTGACCGTGCTTGCCTATCGTGATGAAGCAACTAAGCTACACTAGCTAGAACATCTGTTCCTCAAGGTCCGACCATATCAGACAGGTCGGTTGAAGAGTGCTGAGACTAAAAGCAACAAACTGAGTTTGTTGGCGAAGTCATACTGCTTATTGTACAGAGGTGTGACAGCAGTAAGGTGTTTCCTTCAGACAACCAGCATGACAGTGATGCTGCCTTCTCACAAGGAGGGGTGGGTCAAGAAGAGGTCGACCCTGAAAATGCACATCTTGCTTTATCTCACGCATATCCGTCTCCGTTGGTAAGGTCTCAATAAGTATGGAGCTAACACGAAAATTATTGACAAAAAGACCGTGTGTGACCGACCTTCAGCAGATGTCCCTTGGTGACTGCAGTCACTCTCTCAGGTCACTAAGACCACCTTCAATCCCATTTCCTTTTCAGGTATCTCGAGAAGAATCTTTTCTTTGGGTGGACAACCAGGAAGTGATAACTGTTCTCATACCTCTAACAGCACTCAAGACCACTGATTGACTGACTATGTTGTCCCATTAAATTATATTATTACATATGTTTATATTGTTGAACTTGGGACAAGCTTTATTTCAGTAATGTTTATCATATTTTCAATTATTTTTTAATCTCAACACATGATTACTGTTATAACTTGTGGACTTGCTTCAATCAATATAGGACGTGACAATGCCGCCAATTAGTGAATAGTGATTACTTTTACTGATTAAGTATCTTGTCTAATTATTGCACTTCATTTTTACAATCATATGATGAACGTGTTATAACTTGTGGTCTTGGTTTCTAGTAATGTATAACGTAGTGATACCACCAATTAGAGAACAGTGACTTATCAACCAGACCAATGACGCATAAAACCTGTACGAGTAGTCTAGAATCCTTATCAGTCCTTCTTCTTACTTAGCCCTGACTGTTAAGTCCAGAACACCAATATCAGCCTCCGCGATATGAATCATGTATTTCAAACATACTGGGTTTATATACCAAACCAAACAGACCACATCGTATCATAAAATACAAAATACACATTTATACAAGATCTAGCCAAAAAAAGTGGCTGTGAATGTGGGAGATTTTAATTAATAAACTGGGTATAAATCAAGAATGGTAAATCGTATAATCATAGTCCATGGGTCAAAATAAATCGTTTAATAAGAGAAACCTAAATATGCATAGTTTAGCTACTTAACAATTATACTATAAGAATATATGTATAGTATTAGTTCATCAAAGGATCCCAACAGTTACCATTCATTATTCTCTTTGGGATATAACAATTACATTTCGAAATAATAAAATATGTCAGTTCTATTCAATTGTAGCATATTGGATTATGTCATAATACAATTCCATGCCCAAACTTTCAAAAGACATTGACCTGTAAGTAATACAAAGATTTGTTCATTTATCTGATGATTAATGATTGATCCATATCCTTCCTGTCTTAAATTGTATACTTGCTCTTTAGCTTGAGTTTTACTTTCCAATGCGCTTGTAATACCAAACACACTTTCTCATAGAACTAGGCATTTAACTCCTGGTTTTACATTGTCTAATGAAAACCGAATCTCCAGTGCTTAGATTATTAAGTATTCTGAAGATATACCAAAATTGTACCTTAAAAAGAGTTAAATTCTCAAGAAGAAATCTTTCAAGCCAATAAGTTTCGATAACAAGTAAACATTAATTTTGAGATAATAATGAAAGCCACTTGGGTTTATTCTGTGTTTTTTGATAGTGACTGATAGATTTATTCAATATAGTAAAGCTTAGAAGTATGCGTTTGAATGTATAGTGTTGAGATGTTTGAATGTAATTTTAAACGGCTGTACAATAGTTTATTAGCACTATAAGTGGTTGTTAGCAAACAGCAAGAAATGATTTTTTTTGGTATACATTTCGTGACAGTTTTTTACTCATCAACAAGACGTATCTACAACATTGAGGGAACTGACACCTTCCTATGTAGTTTCAACCTGTATCGTCCTGAGTTGTATTGTTACTGAGTTTTAAATTAAATGTCATGTTTGTCCAATAGTTGGTGATAATTGAATTTTGTAGATCAAGTTGTAATGTGTCTACTATTCTAAATGACTTTATACCATGTTTTGATGTTAGAATAACAGTTTCCTCAACTTTACTGGTATATCATGTTGACATGGAACCTAGATCAAATAAAGATGTTCCATCAGTGATATCTGGTCAAATCTTCCATGTCATTTATGAAAATTGATAATAAATATTAATTACTATTGATTACAACTTATGTTTAAAGTTATTGTATTTTCATTTCAGATAATGACTTATCTACTTAGATAAATTTTATACTGTTGAATTCATACAACAGAATGATAGATCTTTTGAAATGACGGAAATACACTTCATAATATTGACAATTATTTCAATCTACTTTTGTTTTTCTTGTTTCATGGGGCTTATTTCGTCAGTCAGTCAGTCAGCTACAACGTAAGACCAGGCACATATATGCATCGATTCAAGTTGCCATACCTCATTAACACAAAAAGATGAACACCGGATTCATAGAATTAGTTAATTCAGAGGTGGTAATATATAAAAGAAAGATTGCATGTAAGGATATAGTACAGGAGAAAAGAATTAGTTGGTATAAAGAAAGATATGAAGTGATTTTAATCTCTTAGTTTAAGGGAAGACAAAGAGTGTATACACCGACGCCATTGTGATCGATTCTGAGCCAATATCACCCACAGTTTCCAAACATTGGTTACGACAGTCACACAAACTCCAATCAAGTAGTCTGCATCTACCAACATGGCTCAGACTAGAAGTTAGTGACTTAAAGCACTGATGCGACGTTTTGGTTTGGCCGTCCGTAACTTTCTTCCAACCGTCTTCAACTTTAGTCAGCATTGTGCGTCGTAGTAAACGGGGTTCTGGCATACGTAACACGTGGCCCAACCATCTCAGTCGATGAAGATTCACAACCTCATCAAGTGGCTTACCATCATTCCCTAATACCCTGCGTCGAACCTCACTATTACTTACTCGGTGATCTCAGCAGATGCGAGCAATATTTCTATGACATCTGTGGTCAAATACTAGTAGCTCACAAGTATCTTCTACTCTTAATGGCCGCATTTCGTTGCCGTAAATTAAAACAGAACGGGCTGCCGCGCAGTATACTCGTTCTTTTATTGATAGACGGATATCCGGCCTTCGCAATAGGTGATGTAAGCTGGCAAAAGCCAAGGGTAGAAAACATAATTGTCGGTATCAGTGATAAAATTGTTACATAATAGGAGATTGATATATTGAAATTAGATTCAAAAGATATGACGAAACTACACATCTTTCTATTGGTTACTAAACTGTTTTTTTTATAATGATTAGAACGATTGATTATATTCGATAATAAGTTATATTAAACGTAGATGTAGTATGAAAGTTGTTTACAGATTTGGTTTGCATACGTTTAGGTCATCAAGATGATCCAAGAAGTTTTCTGTTAGGAGACCTTCCCAAGATGAAAGAATAGCATAGATTTTACAAATTGGACAACCCGACTAAATGGTTATGACCATCAGCTGTGTAGTAGGAATGAAATTAAGTGAATTAGTTTATTTATGTCAATGAGCGTACAGCAACAGATTGAATCAAATAATTTTTTGGAGGGGGGGATTCAAATATCATTTCAATTATAAAAATAGAATAATGAGAAGTGATTAGAATTAAAATTGCAACTGGACAGTTTATAAAATGGATATGATATCCGAAAATTAGGCCTAACAATCAGGTTTTAATTGGTTAGACAAAACTGAATTCATGAGTCAATTAAATTTAGACCACTATGGAAAATGTGGAATCACTCTATGGCCATTTTGTTCTCGTATTGAACTCAGCAATACGCATCGACGACCCCGGCTCGCCGGATCTCTTGCGCGAACTCCTAACCTCCAACGGAGTTAATGTCTAACTTTAACCAAAACTAATTTCTCTCTATCGCCTATAACATATTATCATGTTTGTTTTACGCTTGTATATTGCATATAAGCATGTCATTTTATCGTTTAAAATAAACTACTTTTCTGACTGGTAGTTTTGTCTTTCATCTAAAATTATACGGATGCTTACTTAAATAATTCAGTTTGATGAGAAGCATTCACTCACCGACATCATATTAGTGCATTTCATCCACCAATCAATATTTTTATCTCTTATTTTTAACAATCAAAAGTTCGTTCATCATACGATTGTAAACATGGAGTACAATAAATAAACAAAATATTCAATTGCAATTATTTATATCAGTATAGTGTTGTGTAGATTGCCGAGTTTTGATTGAGATCACGAATCGATCAATATTAGACCACCATTGAAAACCTGGTAGCACTAAACAGTTGTTTCGTCCTAGTATGGGCCTCTTCAATAGTGCACATCTACGATCCTGTACTAAAGGGACTCGAACCAGGGAGCTCTGGTCTAGCGCGTGATCTCTTAACCTCTAGACGACTGAGCTCTGAAGAGCTAGACAAAGAATAGTGAGTACAATCGAAATATTTCAATGAGTGAAATTAAGTGAATCAATAGTATATGTAATAAGAGAGACATTTCAATTAAAGAATACAACTAGGAAGAATTCTTTGAGTGAAAAGGGTTCCTCTTATTTTTATAAAGAATGTGAAAAAAAGCTGCATCAGGACGGTCATTGACTTCTATTCTAAGTCATATCTAATAACAGTTCAACTCAGAGTTACATCATCTCTAAGGCCTCAGCCATGGAGCCGTGATGGACCAATAGATGCCAATCCTAAACAATTTACTTTCATATCTATACAAATTTCCAAACATCTTACTAAAATAATAATCAAGTCGTTATAAATACCCACTTTTAAGATATAGTATCCTAAAGTTCAACGAAGGGATTAATTAAGTTAGAAGAGAGAACGGATGGACCACTGATTATTGAATAAAGAACAGTCGTTCTATCTTCGTGAGAAAAAAACATTAAATTGCAATAAAGTGAATTAATTTTTCACTATGTGTGTCGTGAGTGTACACCTACAGTTCAACTTATGAGATGAAAAAGATTTGTAGCTCAGGTTTAAGGTCAAAAAGAACCAATCTACATCGAGGTCTACAGAGCAAGCTGTGAAACGCATATGGAGAAATTCGAACACTTCACTTCTATCGTAAGTTTATGCTAATGATGTTGTTCGGAATAACGATGAAAGCTTCACGACCAAATCATCCAGATCAAAGAACAAAAAGTCCATCAAAAAAACGGTTCAAATTAATTTTTAAAAATTTGCTTGTTTTTCAATGACTTATCAACTAATCTTAATTCCGGATAAAAAGTTACCTTCAGATTATATAAAATTCCCTAGAAGGCATATAATTAAAATAACAAGTGATTATACATAAAAGAACTCAACATAAGTCAAAAGCATATTTCTCATATATGCGAAAAAGAGAAAAATAACCAACTTCCTTTTCTAGATATGCTGATTGGTTCTATCAAACGTTCTATATATAGAAAGCCGATATGGACAGGGTAATATCTTAATTTCCATAGTCATTGCCCAATCCATTACAAACGTGGATTACTCAATAAAATCAATTATATTTGTACTAGCGATACTATTGAAGTAAAGACGTAGCTCTTGATTGAAACATTAATAAATAATGGTTTTTTATTGACATTCATAAACTACTGGGAAGGTTGTAATACGATTAAACCTATGACTCTTCTGGCACCCAAAAAGCGAGTTTACATTATTTTATCACTTAGAGGCAGTTCAAATAGTCTCATGTTGAAACGGTGATTTAAATTAGCCATCAGCGGGACACTTTATGCAGCCCAAGGTTTATGTTTCATTCAAAACCTGAATAGCACGTTAGCGATTGTATCACATCCGATTGTGTCCATCAATTTTCATGTATGTGTGGAAACACGTACATGAGAAGGAGCAATCATGATCTGCAAGTTAGGCCGGCTGAATACATGCTTAAATGGCTCCAAAAACAAATGATTCCCAATGGTCAAATAAGATCGCAGGGTAGACAAACATCTTCATCCATTGTGAAACATTTGGTTGGTAAGTCAACCTTCGTAGTTTTGTACAAAAGTCTTCAAGAGCGCATACTAAAATTTATTGAAGCCATGGTTATACAGAAATTGAAACCCCATTTATGTGTTCAAAAACAATTTGTTCTTACCCCTGACCTACCCTGATAATACTGATTTATTATCCAGAGTGATTTCCACAATGTTTTTGTGTACTCTACCAGTACGTTTAATCTGTCTAGTTGACCTTTTATTCTTCATATAACAATGTCTTAACAAGTATATTATATGTGATCCAACTATTCTGAATGTATTGCTCAAATATATTACGTAATTCTGACAACCTTCATCTTCTTATTTCATTACCAAACCTTATTAAATCGACTAGTTGATTTCACTTCCTTAATACTCATTCGCAAAAATATCTATTATCATTTCAATTCCTATATTAATTAGTAAACATGAATAAACTACTGAATAACTTAATTAGGGTAATATATATTGAACATTGACCAATTTCAGTAGTTGAGACCATGAGTTAATTGAAGCTAGACCACGATGGAAAACGTGGAAGCACTTGATGGCCGTTTCGTCCTACTGTGGGACTCCTCAGCAGTGGGCATTCATGATCCCGCCTCGCCAGATTCGAACCCAGGACCCGCGATCGTTTAACCTCTAGACCACTGAGCCAGCATCCAACGGTGTTAATGTCTAACTTTAACCAATCCACGAAATTGTGCCATAATTTCATCGTTGTCTTCAATCAGTTGTGATTACACCTCAGTCCCACAGGAGGTGGGTCGCGGCTTGGATAGCCCAGTGGTAACTTCTCTGGCTGTGAACCTGGGTGACACGAGATCAAGCTCCCTCAAGATTACAGGTACACCTTGCTGACGAGTGTCAAGTAGCACGAAACTCGGGTCCAGGGTTTTCGGTTGAATACCTCCAACCACCATCTAATCTCCATCATTGTCTTCAATATTAAAACGTTAAAACTTTACAGTTATTCCATGCTAGCAAGTATTAACTGACACAATACCTTGCTTTAGATCTTTATATTAATTAACGTTAATCAAAAAATGATTTGGCATTTTTTTCTCTTTTCATACCTTTTATTCAAGTTTAACACTAATAACAAATTCTCAGATTTTCTAGCGGTTAAGCACTCGCGTGCGAGACTGATGGGTTCTGGGTTCGTAACTCGCGAGGCGGGATCGTGGATCCACATTGCTGAGGAGCCCCACTATGGGACGAAACAGCCGTCTAGTGCTTCCAGGTTTTCCATGTTAGTCCAGCTTCAATTGACTCATGGTTTCAACTATTAAAATAACTAGAGTATCCACAAAAACCCCTTCTGATATTGACCAGTTCGTTTAATTCACTATAAACTGACATAAATCATAGTTATTCAATAGTTTTATAAAAGAATACCATAGATTATCTATCATATAATCATGTACATGTGAACTTTGATACATAAATAGAAGGCTTAAATAATTTTGTTTTTTGAAACTGTTCAAGATAGATAACAACAGAAGTTCTTAGATCAAAGTACTTCAATCGTTATTACAATTATTAGTATTATTATCATTATTACTACTATTATTATTACTATTATTTCAAGTATTATTTGTTCTATGCAACTAAATGATTAGTCCAGTCTATTTATTTAAGATAAAAAGATTTAAACAACTGTTTGTGATTACTAGTTGAACTATTATAGATAGATAGATACTTGGAGTTCCTGAGTAAACATACTGCTGAGATAATGTTCGCTAAAATCTTTCTCCTAATATCTTTACTTGGTAAGATGGTTAATATTTTGCGTTTTTTTGTGTGTTTTTTGTACCATTCAATAATAATTATTTAGGTTTGAAGAATACAGTTTACGGAGAACCTGTTGAGGTATGTATTGTTATGTATAACAATGATATTATTCTCTTCAATGTAAATGTATGTAGTTTTTGGTGCTTGATTATAAATTCTGAGATCTACGGTTAGTTGTTGACAGTATCGTATGATTGTTATGAACTACATATATATGTTATGAGTTAGAAATATGAATTGTTAAATAAGCGAATCGAAAGTCATGTATTCATTCAGCGATTCAAAGACTTTTTTGGTTAAATAGTAGGTTCACATCAATCAGGAGTAGGAAATTTTTCTAAACACATAAACATTGGTACAAGAGGGTACCAAATAGATATGCGACACACAAATCTCATTTGATTTATGTGAGGGCTGTGATACTGACCGGGTGCCCGAATCGAAACAGGTGGTCTTCTTAGGGGGCCACACCCCAACACTTTGATCTAAACGTCTGATCCACAAGGCAGTGCAGTAACGTCAGGAAATCCAGTCTCATGGTAGCCGGTGACGAACGGTTGGTTCATACACCATTTTTTGCTTCAGGATACTGGAGCTCATATTCACCATTGGTTTGGAATCAGAGATTTCCAACTCTCCTAGATGGACTCTCTGTGTTCAGCAACCTGGTTAAAGTGCCAGACATTCGCTTTTCATCCTCCCGATTTCGTAAACAATCTTCCCGACTGCGAGAAGTCAGTGAGTAGGACTTCCTTGCCAGAGGCAATATACGCGTGACCATATGAGAGCATTTCGAGAGAGAGGGTTGACTCTCCGTACTCTCCGCCATACCAGGGCATTTGGGGGCTGGAACAACCAACAAAAATATTGGATGCATTCAGTACTATCGAATATGTAAATGAGTATTATTACAGGACATCTGAATTATTTTTGCAAACGTTATATACTTTAAACTCGATGCATTAGAGTGCAGAACACAACACTACGAATATCCTTATTCTCTATCATTTGAATTCTGAAGTGTAACATTGATTCCTAACTTTAGAAATACTCCCTAAGGAAAAAATTCACTCTTAGAAAGAGGAATAAAACCATAATATCACTCACAAAGTTATCTATGAATATATTGATCATAATCACTTAAGCTTATTTGATCAATGATCTCCTTGGAAATATCATGAAAATCAACAGGTATTATTCAAAGCTCATTTAAAGTTTTACTTGAATTTCAGAGTCCTGTAAATGATTTCGAACAATTGGAATGTCAATTAAGTGAGTTATTAAGATTTAGATATATTGAAACTTATGATAGTACTTACTTACTTACTCCTGTTACTCCTTGTGGAGGAGCATAGGCCTCTTACCAGCACTTTCCATCAAACCCTGTCCTGGGCAATCCTTTCCAGTTCTTTCCAGTTGTTATTCGTCCTTTTCATATCTAATTCTATTTCCCGACGTAATATGTCATGATAGACAGTAGGTTTGGATAAATTTGCTGATAAACTAAACTGAAATTATAATTACTATTGGTATCTACAAAAGAGAACCAGCTAATGACGTTGTTGATTTCTCTAATTTAAGAAGTTTGCTTCTATTTGAGGGGTAAACTATGTTTACGTTGTCCTGAACGACAATAAAAGCTTCATAACTAAACAGTTTAGCTCAATAAGGTCAACAACATCGAACGTATCCATTTGAGTTAAAAGTCTTCTTCACTACATTATAACTAGCTTATATTCAGCACAAAATTAGTGATTAATCAAAGCCAAGTTTAATTGATCTATAAATCATATATTATAACAATGGGCTATTAGTCGAAAACTTTACTGAAAAATAAAGACATCCTTCTTCTAATTAACATTTTGTATACTACTAAGAATATGCCATATTTGAAGCGATTACGAGTTCACCTAATCTGAGAACAGAACGAAGACTCTGTGACATAATGACATATAAGCTATCTATTTCGACGCATCCCAGCCCAGCTTACTAGAGAGAAAAGCCCAAGTTCGGAAGAGGGAAATATATTCCACAAGCAGCCAGAATCACAAACAACCACGACAAGTCTAGTCGGAACTACACTCATTCATATATTGATTCATACACCCATTTTTTATTAATAATTAGGATGAAATCACATATATGAGAAACAAATACTTAGAGTTAAATCATATGCTGAGTATGATGGAGTTTTGTTTTCTGAGCTGGATAGTTTGGTCGTAGAGCATTCATCGTTATTTTAAACGATATCATGATCTACCTGAAGTATGTGCTGATGATGTTCGTCCACGACCAGACCATCCATCTCATAGAATAAAACTCCATTAAAATCATCCACCTAAGCTACAAATCTTCTCTACCATCCCAATATGCTGAGTATAGTTCATATTAACTTAATACAAGTATATCGTATATTATACAGAATAAAATGTTACTCTGGGAAACAGAAACAAATACTATACTAAGTAATCATCACATTGAATTAAAATGGAATTAACGTTGAATACAGATCATCCCCATCATATCAGAAATACAAATGGTTGTTAAGATTGTTTCAGAGATGATACTGTACTTTATTCTCTTGTATATTTTTTTTCTTCCAAGTTTGTGAAACTTGTGTTATGAATGTTCGTGGTATTCGATGGTTACTTTTGCAAAGTTATACACGAAAGATTGCAGCTGAACTATTATCTGTAATGTGTAATTTTCTTCCATATAAACAACCTCGTGCTCAAGTAAGTTTTATACTTTATCTATACTACTATTTTCAATGTAAATCATAATGATTTAAAATATTGAAGTTTTCTTTTTTGTCTTAAAGTTATTTGATTGAATTTTCCGCGAGACTATAATTTATGGATGAACCAATCAGATTTAAGATAAAAGGTCTTGGATTTCGGCGCGAAATTCACTCATTCATTTGGTTAAATAAAACTTTGGCATTATAGTTGATGTCAGTTCGTGATGAAAACCTGAAATCTAATTCTTAACCATAATCATCAACTGTAGATTTTAATTCTAGTTCCTCGCACAGGTTTATAACCCACATTTGGTCCTAATTATTAGGTGGACACTCTCAAGGTTACTTTAGCGTCGTTCAAAGGTTGTCCATAAATTATAGTCTCATCGAATTTTCTAAGAGAGAATTAAAAAACTAAACTTGAACTATTCATTTTGTCCTTTACTAAATAATATCCATCAACCTAAATAATTGATGTCTATGTGAATTACATGGTTACAACTTAGGTCAGTAAAGTTGTTATGAACGAGAACACCGGTAACGGACAGTCGAATATATTTGAACACGCAATTACAGAATCTGTTAGTAAAATCTGAGAACTATACAGTATATACTTTATTTGCAAAATCTCAATCAATCGTCTCAGACTTCATTGTTTCTTCGTTTCCACATGAATCACTATCTGTTGTCTTTCTTTTCTTTTCTCCTTGATCTTCTTAATCTTCTGTCGCCAGAAATTTCACTTTCGACTGATGATACATACTACTTATATCTGTTGAAATCAATAGCACATACCACAAAGCCTGTGGTATACACGATATAATCAAATTACCATGTCAAACATTGTAGTAAGCGAAATAATACATATTGATTAATAATTTCCAGTAAACTGCTATGTGAACTTTCATTCATGGTTATTTAATCATCTTTCTTAGTTAAACATCAAGTTACCAAATTGAAGTATTCACTTGTGAGACTATAAATCTTCAAGTTTTTGGTCACGATTCATGTATTTCAGAAGGTTATACTGTTTAAAACTAGCGTTTCTGTACATCCCTCCTGTTTCTAGTGTATTTCTTTATTACCGACCCACTAAAATTCTATTTCTCATCTACAATCCTCACAAACTGAATACCCATTTACCAAAGTTAAACGACATTCGGAAATGGATTCATGTTAGTTAATTACTGTGTTGTATTCAATATTATGTTAGCCTTGTTTTTAGTGCTAGTCGATAGAATTCGATCACCTTTAAAGACTAGAGGAACGCAATTAAAAAACATGATGTATTTTGATATTGGATCAAACTGACAAGTTATGATATTGCAATATGACAGTCAGAAATTCAACAACCTTCTTTATATGATGTCTGTCGGTAGATAATGACATGCATGGCTAGAGATGAAAACTCTGATAAGTGATTTTTATTACAGTAAAATTTAAGACTAATTAAAAACGTGATTGAGATCATGAATTGATCAATGTTAGACCACTATTGAAAACTTGGAAGCACTGGAGTTCATCCGTACCTGATTTGAGGCAGTTACTCACTGAACACAATGGAGAACAGTCGCGTAATATTGTGAATTGTTTGAAGTTAGACAATAACAAGATCGTACTCCCACTCAGCGGTCTAGAGGTTAGGAGTTTGCGCGCGAGGTCTAAGGTCCTGGTTTCGAGTCCTTTTGGTGCGGGACTATGAATGCACACTGCTGAAGAGTCCCATAATATTACGAAACGGACGTTGAGTGCTTCCAACTTTTCAATAGCGGTCTAGCCTACGTCGACTCATGGATTCAACTATTAAAATGTATAAGCACCTATCAATGGAACAAACCTTTATGCTCATGATATCTTATAATATACAACTGAAATATCTCACGATTTATTAAAACGTGTTAACACAAATTAACCTAATTTTTTTACATTTACCGATATATTCAGTGTAAACGTTTCTTCAAAGGACCATTTGAAGGGATGGTTCATGATTTTGTTGTAAACATGAGTGTTTATGAACCATGTCAAGTAAGTGTTTTGTCAAAGAAAAAATTTTTTATTGTAAATCTTTATAGTTAATCAATAAAAAAATTTTTATTTTTTGATATTATAAAATATAGGATTATATAACTATACTAAATGTCAGTATAGAGTTGTGAAGACTATCAAGTTTTTGATTGAAATCATGAACCAAATGATGTTAGACCATCATTGAAAACCTGGAAGCACTAGACGGTCGTTTCGTCCTATTGTAGGACTGCTCAGCAATGCACATCCACGAGCCCACTCGCGGGATTCGGACATAGAGCGTTCATTCTTCAGCACAAACACTAAACATCTAGACCACTGAACCGGCATTCAACGGTGTTAATGTCTAACCTCAATCAATCCACGAAATTGCGAGACCATCTTTCATTGTACCCGACACGGATTAGCTCCACTGGTCACAGCTTCTCACTAGAACTCCGAGAATTCTCTCACGTAGCTAGTCACAATCAGTATACTAAATACGATTTTTAGTTACATAACTTCTTGTAGATTTTGATTATCCATAGTTGGTGGCTGGAAATTTATGTGATAGATTGGAAGCAGCCAAGTAATATATTTCTTATTAGTATGTTCAAGATATTAATCAGTATAAATTATGCTGTTACGTAATTTATATCACAGATTGATTTTATATAAACCATTGAGCGACGCCAAAGTGATCTTGAAAGTGTCTGCCTACTTACTGGGGCTAAATGGGGGTCATAAAGCAGCTTGAAGAATAAGGATTATGATTCACAGTTGATGGTCAGGGTTAGAAATTAGATTTACGGTTTTTCATCTCGAACTGACATCAGCTAAAATGTCGAAACGCTATTTGGTCAAATGGGGGGAGGGGGTGAATTTCGCTCCAAAACCCAAGACCTGTCATCTTAAATCTGGTTGGTTCTCCCATAAACTATAATCTCGCCGCATTACTTCTGATATGATTAAACTCCACTGATCACATCTTCTTATTGAAAATCCAGGAATTCCACTCACAGTTAGTCATCAATCTATGAATGATTATCAGTTAAAAGCATGAGTGATGAGTGGAAATTGCTCACTCTAGACAAAATTATCTTTGAACTGTTATTGAAAATATGTAATTTGTGTTTTATTTTTCGGTACACACTTTTTGAAGTATCTTGGACTTTGTGAAACAGTTCAACAAGAATTGATGACAAGCCTAGATGATTCATTCTGTAAGTTACTTTATATATATGTATGTATAAGTTATTATCATTTAACAAACTGTGGAGCGATGGTTTAGTATTGATAGTGTACATGACTTTCGACAATGAAGTGAATGTTCAAAGCACAACAAATCTACTACATTTTTATCAGTTAAATACTATCACTAACCTTCACACAAATAGTATAGCTGTAGGTCGAGTACATACACCTAAAACTTGGTAAATAATTTAAATTTACAAGCCATTGAAAACTGAATATCTCGACAAAGAGAACTCGAAAGGTGTACAGTTAATACAGTATCATTTATAATTCACTGATTCATATTATTCACTTCTAATCATTTCACAGTGTGTCAGGTGACAAATAACCAGTTTTATTTCCAACAATAGCTTTATAGATTATATGTTTTTTCTGATAAAGCTTTGTAATATTTAATAGAGAAGTATTATCTTCCTCTGAAGATTCGTTTTTCACAACCAAACTATATAAAATAATGCCATTTTTCCATTGAATAAAATAGCTCCTTCTAACCCATTAGCCGATCAGAAAACGTAAATAAGAAACACATTATTTCTCTGTTATACTCGATTCATTCATGCATAAAAACTTAAGCATTGATATAGCTGAAACGTCTGACCACTCAGTGCGTCAAATAAGAAATCATACTCTAAATACAACCATACCGTAAGCGGTAGAGGACGAAACAAACAGTACATAATTAATTAGCAATAACTAAGGGATAGTAAGTTATAACGACAATTGTTAAGTTCACTTGAAGCTTACAATAAGAGGAATATAGAAATGCAACAATATGGTTAACTACTAGTCACTTAATAGAAATATAGATGATAATAATAATGACCCAAGGAATAGTTTCAAAAGTTCCAACTTTTCTAATATTCGTTCTATTATAACAATCCGTTTATGCGATGCTGACCTTCTCGACTTTCATGATAAGATCAATTTTGATTCTCATACAAAGCAAGAAGATGTAATATGGGTAATCTTTTACTCTGAAATTTGTTTAAATACAAAACCGAATGTTATTTATACGGTTAAAATCTACCATTGGCTTCTGGAAACTTCCATAAAATTGCGACAGCTAATAATAATAATAATATTGTGAATTCAGCCAATGAGAGATATGTCGACTATAATATTTGAATTTAGGAGTCGACGTTTCGCGCATAGACATCTAACCTCTAGACCACTGAGCAGGCATCCAACGGTGTTAATGTCTAACTACAGTCGATCCATGGTCTTGCACAACCCTTCAGTCATTGTCTGAAGTGGATACCTATTTCTAGCCGACAGTTCAATTATTGACCATGTCTGTACCACTAGTGTGAAATATCAAGTGTTCTCTTTTTTATGTCAGTCAATAACTTAAACGTGTAATATAAAGTTGGAAGATAAAACTCTGATTAGCTCCATTCACCTTTAATTTCATTTTTTTTTAACAGATAACAATCTGCTGATGAAAACACTAAGCATATTGAAAGAAGATATAGAGTCAATTATTACACCGGAGTTTATTGAACAATCAGCTATAAAACTTTGTTCTTCTGACAAAAAGGTTAGTCGGAGTGTTTTTTTGTGTTCTTGCTCTCTTGTAATTTCTGTCATGAAATGTATTTCAGTACGTACTTTTTGTAAAGCATTAACATCAACTCTGAGATGCAGGTACATCCCGCTGACGATTCCCAAAATAGGACGAAACCCACATCCTGGATTCCACTGCTGGCTACTATTTATCTTTGCCTAATAACTGTATAGTTTATTATTTGGTGGTATGATTTGATATTAAAATTGATTGAATATGAATCTATCAGATACTAACAACTACAATTTCTCAGTTTAAACAAAACACAATGTTCATTTAGTGATAATTGAATTATCCAGGAGTGTATATGTTACTGTGGAATTATTGGAAGCAATAACACACAAAACTCTACCTGTAGCTCTTCTAGAGTTACTGCCGGTCCCAAGCTTGGGTAAAGGACGATGTTTGGGCATGCGGTTAGCGACCCCATTCCGCTAAAAATAGCACTAACCAGAAAAATTGATTCAAACCGTTTAAACTATGCCCTGGGAGTCAGAAGGTCTTCATTTAGAAGAACTATGACGACTCATGATGAAAGCCGAGTTCCTTCGGAAGCCACGAAACTAATGCCCCTTCTAACAATCATAGCAACAACTTTTATAGGTACATGGAACTTCCGGACAATGTGGGAGACCAGAAAGACCAGTCAAATAGCAACGGAAATGGGGAGATACAATTCGGCAGTACAGAAAATCAGCGAAACCCATTGGACTCAAGCTGGACAACAAAGGCTAGATACAGGAGAGATGTTGCTATACTCCGGTGACGAAGAGTAAAGTGCTCCGCACACTCAGGGAGTTACTCTAATGCTGTCTAAAGTAGCACGAAATGCACCTGTAGATGGGGATCTCATGGATCCAGAATCATCAAAGCATCATTTAAAACAAAGATGGAGGGAATTACAATAAATGTTATCCGGTGTTATGCACCCACCAATGATAACAGTGACGACGAAAACGATCAATTCCATGATAGGCTGCAATCAATCATAGAGAAGTACCCAAGAAAGGACCTCGCCATTCTGATGGGAGATCTAAACGCCAAAGTCGGAATAGAAAACACCGGATATGAAGATATCATGGGACGACATGGGCTGAATGGGAGAGAGAAACGAAAATCGAGAAAGATTTGCGAACCTGTGTGCACTTAACAAATTGGTCATAGGAGGTACAATATTTCCACACAAGCGTATACACAAGGCTACATGGATCTCACCGGACCACACCACAGAGAACCAGATAGATCATATATGCACCAACAAAAAATTCCGAAGGACAATGGAAGATGTGAGAACCAGGAGAGGTGCTGACGTAGCTTCAGATCACCACCTAGTTGTAGCCAATTTAAAACTGAAGCTAAAAAAGAACTGGACAAGTGGACAAACAGCATTACAAAGGTTCAATACAGCGTTCCTTCGAGATACTGACGGATTCAATGAATTCAAGATAGCTTTCAACAACAGGTTCGAAGCCTTACAAGATCTACTGAAAGAAGGAGAAACTACTATGGAGGACAAATGGAAAGGCATCAAGGAAGCATTAACTTCAATGTGCCAAGAGGTTCTGGGCCTAAAGAAACACCATCACAAGGAGTGGATCTCTATAGAAACACTGGACAAGATCAAAGAAAGGAAGAACAAGAAGGCCGCAGTTAACAACAGCCGAACACGAGCAGAGAAAGTCCAAGCACAAGCTGAATACATAGAAGCAAACAAGCAAGTGAAGAAAAGCATTAGAGCCGACAAGAAGAGGTACGTGGAAGAATTAGCAACGACGGCAGAAAAAGGTGCTAGGGAAGGAAACATGAAACAGCTTTACGATACAACGAAGAAACTAGCAGGGAAATACAGTAAACCAGAGAGGCCGGTCAAAGACAAAGAAGGCAAGCCAATCACCGAAATTCAACAACAGCGGAACAGATTGGTAGAATACTTCGAGGAACTCCTGAATAGGCCGGCTCCAATGAATCCACCGGACATCGAAGCAGCACACATAGATCTTCCTATAGATGTCAATCCACCAACTACGGAAGAAATTAGAATGGCCGTCAGACAAATCAAGAACGGGAAAGCATCAGGACCCGACAACATACCAGCTGAAGCACTGAAATCAGACATCAAAGCAACCACAAACATGCTTTATCTTCTATTCAAAAAGATTTGGGAGGAGGAACAAGTGCCGATGGACTGGAAAGAAGGACACCTCGTCAAGATTCCAAAGAAAGGAGATCTGAGCAAATGTGAAAACTACAGAGGCATAACACTACTGTCAATACCAGGGAAAGTCTTCAACAGAGTGTTGCTGAACCGGATGAAGGATGCAGTAGACGCCCAACTTCGAGATCAACAAGCTGGATTCCGTAAGGATCGGTCGTGCACAGACCAAATTGCAACACTACGGATCATCGTCGAACAATCAGTTGAGTGGAACTCATCATTATACATCAACTTCATTGATTATGAAAAGGCATTCGACAGTGTAGACAGGAGGACGTTATGGAAACTTCTTCGACACTACGGAATTCCTGAGAAGATTGTCAATATAATCCGGAACTCATACGACGGACTACAGTGCAAAGTCGTGCATGGAGGACAGCTGACAGATGCATTCCAAGTAAGGACCGGAGTCAGACAAGGCTGTTTACTCTCTCCCTTCCTTTTTCTCCTGGTGGTCGACTGGATTATGAAGACCTCAACATCTGAAGGAAAACACGGAATACAATGGACAGCTCAGAACCAATTAGACGATCTGGACTTCGCAGATGACCTAGCCCTCCTATCACGTACACACGAACAGATGCAGATGAAGACAGCCAGTGTAGCAGCAGTCTCTGCATCAGTAGGCCTCAGCATACACAAAGGGAAAACTAAGGTCCTCAAATTCAAAGCGGAGAACAGCAATCCAATCACCCTTGATGGCGAAACTCTGGAAGATGTAGAATCCTTCACATACCTGGGAAGCATCATCGATGAACAAGGAGGTTCAGATGCAGACGTAAAGGCGAGGATTGGCAAAGCAAGGGTCGCATTCCTACAATTGAAGAACATATGGAACTCAAAACAACTTTCAACCAATATCAAAGTGAGAATGTTCAATACCAACGTCAAGGCAGTTCTACTGTATGGAGCTGAAACTTGGAGAACTACAACAACCACAATCAAGAAAGTACAAGTATTTATAAATAGCTGTCTACGCAAGATACTCAACATCCATTGGCCGGATACCATCGGCAACAGCCTTTTGTAGGAGAGAACAAACCAACTTCCAGCTGAAGAGGAAATTAGGAAAAGACGATGGAAATGGATAGGACATACATTACGCAAATCGTCAAACTGTATCACGAGACAAGCTCTAACTTGGAATCCTGAAGGGAAGCGGAAAAGAGGAAGGCCAAAGAACACATTACGTCGGATAATAGAAGCAGATATGAAAAGGATGAATTACAACTGGAAGGAGCTGGAAATGATTGCCCAGGACAGGGTTGGATGGAGAATGCTGGTGAGCGGCCTATGCTCCTTCACGAGGAGTAACAGGTGTTCGTGTCGTGATGAATAACACACAACTTCAAAATCTGAACTCCACTGCTAACTACCACTCATCTATGCTTACAATACATGTAAATTAGTAGTAATATTGAGGCAATCCGTACAGGAACCACATATGCCTAATAAGAAACTGATCAATTGCAATCCTAAACATCAAGGGGAAGACTCAAACAACCAATCCAAAAATGAATTAATATACTTTATTGTTCTTTGTCAGTCTAATATAGATGAGAATCATGTCCCATTAAAGTGTGAACTATTGACTACCAACCTGTTGACTTGCAGGTATCATAAGCAATATGATGGAGTTTGGTTCTGTACAGGATTATAGATACAGATTGTGGAAGAATTTCTAATTGAAACCGAACAGCTGTCCAATCTTATCTAATTTCCGATAATCTCCTAGGTTAAGTTAATTTGTAATGGAATCTTATATTCAAACATAATTAGTTAAATTTTGTGGACTAATTGATGATAAATTACTTAATGTGGATTTATATAACAAAGATTATCATGAATTTCCTTAGTTATACAAATACCTTCCTCTTCCTATACACAGTTATCTGACTTGAAACAACTACTTGATTTGACATTTACTACAATCAAGATCGTATTTAAGTCATCAGAAATCTCTGCATTTAATATCCAAGTATTTACCATAAATTGGTGATAGATTTCTTGCTCACAAGACTGAAAATCCTGGGTTCGAATCCCGCGCACTGCTGTGGAGTCCCTTACTAGGACGAAACGATCATCCAGTGCTTCCAGGTTTTCAATGACGGTTTAACATCAATCGATTCATGATCTTAATTAATAATATTTTAAGAGCTGCTGAAAACCCTGAGCAGCCTATGCCCCTCCCTGAGGGGTAACAGGCGTAAGTAAGTAAGTAAGTGAAAACCATTAACAATTGAACTGATTTTTATTGTCATCTTAAACTTTAGTAGAGTCTATCCACCACCATACATGATATCAAACTAATTGTATGTACCTTAACTGTAGACCAGTAACACAGAATTTGATAGTTCATATTTCTGACTTTGGTCATTGAATTGATAAATTTATCTCTTCATTCATGTTTTGTCAATGTAGTGTATAAAAGCTTTCGAGAAATCTGCTGTCGGTCTCATCAAAGTTATTTATAAAGTAAGCGCATTGGACATTGAAGCAATAAGTTAACGTTTTTCTTTGTTTATAATATGCCTTTTTTATTGTTAACTACCTTTTAAAAACAAAATAGTGACAAACTATTGCTGTATTCATTGAACAGTTATTTGCACATTTGTGATCAACTTTCTGACTGAACGCTTGAATCAGTTTCCTAAGCTCTTCTTATAACCATAGGTTTATTCTACACGACAACTTAAACACGAAAGAAAAGGCGCGAAATGTAGAAAGAAACCTTTACTCTAAGGTTAGTTTAGGCACAGAAAATTGAGGGTATTTGTAGCATTTCAAACAGCCTTGGGCTTCTGGAATGTTCTAGAACCCTAGTAAACATAGTAGCAGGACAGGTAATCATCCAGTCAGAAATGTGACACACGACTCTTCACTTTCTAAATGTTTTTAAAAAAACTCGATACTGAATGGATAAAATGTTTCCTAGTGTTTTCACGGTCTCCATAACATTTGGACTACGTAAATATACACAAGATCTTATAGTTTACACCACTGACTGATCTTAATTGTTCAACCGTTGAAAACTGGGAAGTATTGGACAGTTGTTTCGTTGCAGAATGTGATTGAAGTCATGCATGTGAACCATTCAATGAAGGTCAATGGTTAAAGTGTTAGCAGTTCCGTCCATTTTCTGAAGGTCCTAGATCCTAGATAATAGAACAGGCTAACACTTGATCAGTTTATGTTAAACAAGCGAAAGAGTTAGTTATAGACGACAGCTTAATCCTAGTTGAACTCTGTGAAATATTGTTTTTCGTTTGTATTATAGATAACGATTCAATGGAAAAATAGTGGTCAAATATGATTTAGTTCTGAGTATTAACCGGCAGTTCTGAGCTTAACTAGGAAACACATACTGGTGTAATTTATAATTTGAAAGAAGTATAAAAAAATCATGTAAACTTTTATAAATTATAACTTTGGTTATCTTCATAAAAAATACTCTCGAAGCCTTTTGAGGATCACCGCCACTCCCCATCCCTGGTGATGGGGAAGGGTCGGTAATTCCATCTCTTAAAGGAAACCTTGCTAAGACGATGTTGACTGAAAAGATCTGTCTTTATAAAATATATTTAGTAGAGTAACTAACTCAGACCGAACTCTGTTTTTACATAATTGGCCACAATCGAAAAAGGTCCACTGAATTCAGGTTTCTTACTGATTTATACTTATCCGGAAGATATAACCGAAATCTTAAACATGATTAATGTCTCAAATAAAATTTTATCCTAGCCACTTAATCTGGCAATCAAAGAAAACATCTTTAAATTATCAAGATCGTAAAGTTTATCTCATGTGAAACTTAAATGGTTGTCATTATTAACCGCCCACCCTATTTACTATTATTTATTTATTTGAACACTTAGATGATGGTACAAGGGGGCACCAAATAGATATGTAACACACAAATCCCATTTGATTTGTGTGAGGGCTGTGATACTGCCCGGGTACCCAAATCGAAGCAGGTAATTTTCTTAGGGCCACACCCAAAGAACTTGACCTCAAGGTCTGATCAACAAAGCAGTGGAGTAACATCAGGAGATGCAGTTCCATAATAGCCGGTGACCACCAGTTGGTTCACATGACATTTGTTCCTTCAGGATACTGGAGCTCATGTTCACCATTGATTTGGAATCAGGGATTTCCAACTCCTCTAGATGAACTCTCTGTGTTCACCAACCTGGTTAAAGTGTCAGACATTTGCTTTTCATCCTCTCAATTTCGTAAACAACCTTCCCACTGCGAGAAGTCAGTGAGTAGGACTTCCCTGGCAGGGGCTATATAAGTGGCCATATGAGAGCATTTCGAGAGGGAGGGTTGACTCTCCCCACTCTCGGCCATACCAGGGCATTTTGGGGCAACCGCCCACCCTATAGTAATCCTTAGTAGCAAAATAAAATTCTATTGATTTATGTCGATGTACCTAATCTGATAAGAAAACTGCTGCTCTATCAAAAGAATTTGACTAGCACTGAGGACTAGAGAAAATGACCTCTTAACTGAATGATTTACGTACTAAAATATTATTTGAGTATATCTGTTAAATAGTTAGAAATATCTACCATCATGTAAACTTCTATATAAGTTAGACATACTACAAAATCTCATTCGAAAAGCTTAATACTATTTGTACTTTGTGTTAATGAGTTTCAATTGTAATTGTAGAAAAGATTAATAACATGGTAGAGAGGATTTGTAGCTCAGATGAATGATTTTTGATGGAGTTTTATTCTTTGAGCTGAATTAATAACATCACATTCTGAAGTTTAACTCAATTGTCACTTACTTTAAACGGTAAATATTATGTTATACAACAAATCAGGCAATCAGAAACCTCTAAATGATTACAAAACATTTAACAATAAAATAATATCAATGTTTAAGATCATGAGTCAGTTGAAGCTAGACCACCATGGAAAACCTGGAAGCACTGGACGGCCGTTTCTTCCTATTGTGGGTCTTCTCAGCAGTGCGCATCCACGACCTCGCCCCCTGCGAGACTCGAACCCAGGACCTACTGGTTTCGCGCACGAGAACTTAACCACTAGACCACTGAGCCGGCTGGCATCCAACAGTGTTAATGTCTAACTTCAACTAATCCACGAAATTGAGCGACACATTCACCATTATCTTCAGCGAGTTACTATCTCACAACAGACCTGGTTGAACTCCACTGGTCACTACTTCTCACTAGAACTCCAGGATATACCTCATGAAGATAATAGTGCACTAACAGTTTTGGATGGAATAATTAAATCTGATACATCAAATTATATTTTGTAATAAATAACAATAGTGAGGTTTTCATAATGTGATTTGAGATAGTATTCTGAGTTAGGGTTATTATCCCATAGGGTTTTTGTCACCAAATGATATCAATTATAATGTAAGAAAGTTAGTGTTTGATAATAAGTGTTAGGCTGAAATTTTGAGTTGGGATTACAGATTAGGGTAAGGGTTTTCAGAACCAACTGATATTGGCTACAATGCAATGTTTTGTCGTCCTTCTATTCATTACCTTTAGAAATTGAGGGTTGAGATTTAGAGGAACTGTTATAAGTGGAGAGTATTATCTAACTTCACTTAACATTCTTGACTACGCATCGAATCATATAGAGCAGTCAGTGTATTATAATTTTCCCGTTTTAGCTCATAAAAAAGACTGTAGTAAATGAGAACACAAGCTGGGACAACCAAATGTATTTGAACATAAAATCACAGAATGTGTTAGTAAACTCTAAGAACCATACAATAAATACCTCATTTGCAAAATATCAAACGATCGTCTCAGATTTCATTGTTCTCACATTTCCACACTAATCATTCTGTGTTCTCGTTCTCTTTTCTTCTCTTTGGTCTTCTTAACCTTCTACGGCCAAACATTTCACTTTTGATTGATGATCCATTCTACTCATATCTGCCGAAATCAGTAGCACGCACCGCAGGACACCCAAGTGTTGTAGTTAAACTTCATTTATCTCATGAAAAGTAATTAAGACAAAATAAGGTAGCATATTTTACAGTTCATTTTGCAACCCGTCAAATTGATAGCCCCTAAATTTCAAGGAATATTTTAAGCTACTTATATTTTATTCAGTAGCAAACATTTGTTAACGTAATTTATACTGCGTAATTTACCATAAACGTAAAACGGATTTTTGATTTCATTTCTTTTAGAATTCAAAAGGTGAATGGTTTTCAGACGATTTTTAAAACTAGGTTAACCGTTTTTCACTTCAGTTAGTATTCATCATTATGTTTAAACTGTTCGGGGACATTTCTTTGGATAAGTAAATAAATATTTAATTCGTAAACTCTTCATTTTTGTATATAATACATAACTGTACAAGTATGATGTATTGCAGAACTTGCAGTATATATTTGTTTACAAGTATAAATTCTTTGATGAAATACTGAATAGATAGCCTGGGGATGAACTCAGTCAAACCTGCAATACTTATATAAAGTAAATATTTTAAACACCTTTGACTATAATACTGAGAAAAATAACCGAAATAAAGACTTTGGTATTGGGTGATCATGAGTTTCTCCAAACACAAAAACTGTTAAAACTGTTACAGAAAAGAAATCGTACATCCTAGTCTTTAACATCTACATGAGTCTGTCCCTAGGGGTCAATTCAGACGACTAAATTGCCAACCTCCATAATAAAACTAAATAAAAAAAGTCCAAGTATTGACCACCAAATAAGCAATGTAATAAACGACCAAAACCAATACATCTGTAGCGTGGCGTCGAGTTGAGGTTAACTATGAACACCGCTACCAAGAAACACGTGCCAAGTAGATCAGAAGGCGAAGGTTGAACGTAACCAAAGAAACCCATAAAATCTTCGAGAAGCCAAATACCAGAAGGCAAGTAATGGACCAAGTCGAGTTATATTTGCTGGCGATCTCGTGGCATCGAAAGGATACCGAGATCGTGCCAGGATACAACCTTGGTTACAGAAGGTAACTGAATTCGCGCGAAGTTACAATCGAAGTGTGTGTAAAAGAATGGAAGCACAAAATAGCTGTCATTAGCACAGTTAAACAAAAGCACATTAAAACAGTCACTGGTACAAATGGTTATAATAATAATTGTTTTTATTAAACCAGTCGTGTTCTCGTGATAAATGTGAGTCACTACAGGAGCCCCCCGCTGGAAAGGGTTTACACTTTCGATAAATAGCGGTTTAAATCGTGGGACTGATCGGCTGACGAGCGATTGTAGGACGGAAGAATTGGCGAACAGGAAAGCGATCATTGATCGTCGAGTTGCCAACGAAAGTCGTTTTCGGAGAACGGTACCAGGAGCGATGTGCTGTATTTGTTGCTTGGGTTGGCATGCTACACGAGAGTGGTTTGTATCCAGAATCTGAGGATTGCGTTCGTAGGGAATGCGAACCAGAAACGCTGCAGACGTAGGACGAAACCACGTTGAACCAAAAGACCAGAAGCGACCGTAACGACCAAGTTCGAGACCAAGCGTATGCCAAGCATTCGAAACCAATATATCGACTGAATGCGTTGAAAAGAGCATGGGTGGCCGATCCAGCTTTCGCCAAAGTTGACTGAAGTCGACGGAACCAAACGGAGATGGTCGAAGGCGTGGACTCAGGAAACAAAAAGAAAATCAAAAAAGAGAAGAGTGTAGCATGCGTGTAGCATAGGAATATTCCTACACCGTATCGGTTGTTGACTGTGCGGCTAGTCGCGGAAGCGTACGGGCAACCGTACTCGGCGACCCGAACGTGAGACGGTAGTCTCGTTCGTGTTGCGTGAGCCTGCAATCTCATCCGAGGTCAGAGGCGGCGTGGTCTGCTGATCTGGACGTGAGACTATCGTCTCATCCGTAGACGGTGCAGATGACGCGTGCTGTTGACCGGGACGTGAGAATGATGCCTCAGATGTATCTAGCGTGGGACCTGAAGAAGATTTAAGGATCCCGCTAGGTTTGATAGGTCAAGCATTGAATCTCAGGTTACCAGATAGGGCACTGTCATCGACGTGTGCTGGTTTGAGACGATCAATGCTGACGATCTCGACGCGGCCATGTCGATCAACCTTGAAGGTCTTTTCGTGACGAGCGATCACGTGAAAATGGCCTTCGTAAGGTTGTTGCCAAGGTTTGCGTACCAAATCTACTCGTATGAAAACATGTGGACAGGTAGATAACTCTCGAGGGAGAGCGACCTGTCGATGTTGTATTCGAGTTGACACCGGAGGCAGCGTTCGCATAAATACAGACAGTCGATGGACGTAGTCTGATTTACCGAAATCAGGTCTGCTCCGTGGTGTGAAGAATTCTCCGGGCAGACGCAATGTCGTGCCGTATACCAGTTCAGCGGTGGAACATTGTATATCTACCTTCAAGCTCGTTCGAATACCTAAGGGGACGAGCGATAAGGTTTCGTACCAGTTGTCGTTCTCGTGTGCTCGTAGAGCACTTTTAAGTTGGTAGTGAAACCGTTCAACTTAACCATTTGATGCTGGGAGGTAGACGTTAATGCGTATGCGAATGCATTCCATACCAAGCAGCCGGGTCAGCGAGGAGAATAGTTAATAGGGGAAAATTTATCGAATAAAGCATGTAATTCATCGTCACGCGAATAAAAAGTAACGAGGATTCTGTACACATACATGTGAGTCTATTATATTATTACTATTCTTATCGTTATCCGTCATGTCGAGTATATTATATATTAAAAAATACGAAAATATACGACAGACGTGGACAGATAAATCATAGACTCACCGAATTGGCTTCTTTGGAAGATTTGACCAGAAGCTGAGGCGTGTTCCAAAATACGGGTCACCAATTGTAGCGTGGCGTCGAGTTGAGGTTAACTATGAACACCGCTACAAAGAAACACGTGCCAGATAAATCAGAAGGCGAAGATCAAACGTAACCAGATTTATTTCGTTGGCGATCTCGTGGTATTGAACGAATACCGAGATCGTGCCAAGGAATGGTACAAGTGGAAGCAGAAGACAGGAGTACGTACGAACAGTACCAAAAACGGCGGAACAAATGGTTCAAATGGTTCAAATGGTTGTGGATGGAATAGAAGAAGCTTTCGCTTAACAGGCTTCCGTGTCTAGTAGCAGGGGATCACCAAATCCTCCAGGCAGGAACCTAGGTATGTTAACAATAAAAGAGGAAAAGAAATTGGTAAATCATAGTGTGATGCTGTCCTTGGTCCTTAAGAATAGGTCAAGTTGCCTCTTGAAGGACTCCTGAGAAGTCGCTTGGACTAGCTCGGCCGGCAGCGAATTCCAGCTTTTGACAACTCTTAAGGAGTAGAAGTTGTGTCTACATTCCGTCTTGCTATGTTGTGTTTCCAGTTTCTGGGTGTTACCCCTTAGGTTATTATTCGAACTAAGATTAAGTAGGTGTTTAAGAGGATGTCCAGAACTGTTAAGAATACTATAAGCCATCAGAAGGTCACCTCTAAGACGTCTTTACTCTAATGGGTAAGGGTTAAGTGAATGGAGGCGCTCTTCGTAAGGTTGAAATTTGAGTCCTCGAACTGATTTCGTGGCTCGCCATTGGATACGCTCCACAGTGTCCTTATCCTTTTGGAATGAGGGGGGATATACTATGTTTCCGTACTCTAAATGGGGATGGATAAAAGTACTGAAGATTATATGGAAAGTTCTTCGTCAAACTGGCCGAAAATGCGCTTCAATGTTACCAGTGCAAGGTTTGCTCGGAAGGCATTTTTGTCACAGTTAGCGTAAGACTTTAAGTCATGGGGCACCAGGACTCCTAAATCTTTTTCGACTTGGGATACTACTAGAGAGGAGTTTCCTAAGCTGTAACTGTAGTTTGGAAGGTAATGGAAGTACAAAATGGCTATAATTAGCACAGTTAAACAAAAGCACATTAAAACAGTCGCTGGTACACTTGGTTATAATAATAAGCGTTTTTATTAAACCAGTCGTGTTCTCGTGATAAATGTGAGTCACTACACATCTAATTACCAGTAAATAAACAGCTAGACTAGAAGCCTTACTAAACAATAAATTTGTCCAAAGTGAAACAGCTTCAACACGAAAAGGGACAATCAATAATTGATATGTGGTGCACTGATGGTCAACGATCACCGAACAGGAAATAAGGTCAAAAAACAACTATTATGTCCCGGTAGTTGTGCCGTGTTTAATGTATGCCTCTTCTCCAGAAGAACCTACCCCCTTCACCAACTAAGTTTGGTTGAAACGGGCACCATAGGGAAAGTTTGTTTCTCAACATCAAAAGGTATGAGAAACGATAATGATGTTCTTGAGGCTATATTGTGGAAATCCTGATAAGTTAAGTTGCCCAAACGAATAACAATGCACATTGCATCTCGAAGGACGATAATTATGTTTGCAGTTATGAATACCGGTAATCTAGTATTTTTACAGAACAAACTAAAAAATTAATGGTACGAATCATAAAGGAAGTCAAACTGTCCGATCCAAAATGAAAGCGTGTTTCAGAGTCAATCGAACGACAGCATCTTAAGTGTTCACATCAATGAAGTTTGATTCAAATGAAGCATAATGCATCAATTATAAAAACAGTAGGAAAATCTATGAACAGCGCCCATAAATAATTTAAATTAAACTCTGATAACTCGATAGAATAGTCTAACTTATTTGTTAATGGATAGATTAGCATAATATTCATACAGACCAATTTCCCCAAAAAGATTTTCTATCAACAACGCATCAACAAAGCGTACATACAATGATGACAGGATCAATAATCCTTTAGAAGCTGAATGTCATGTCATCGATACCTTGGTTGGAAATATTATTCGTATGTTAACACAAATTCTATACATCAGTATTGAATCACAGTGAACATTAAAAAATCGTTCACAGCAATTGTAATGAACGAGAACTCAGGTAAGGACAGCTGATATATTTTAATACAAAATTACAGAGTTCTTGCGTCAAATGTAAAGACCATACGTTCAATACTTCTTTTGCAAATCTTCCATCAATTGTCTCGAACTTCATCTGTCCTCAGTTGCTGTATCAATTATTCTCTGTTCCTGTTCTCGTAGATTCAACCTTCCTAACCTGCCGCCAGATATTCCACTTCTGATTGGTGTTATTTACTACTTATGTCGACATAAGTAGCATACACCAGATAATTAATTGTATCAAATCCTTGTCTTAATAGGTTACAGAGTGGAAATAAACTACTTAGAAACAATAGTCTGTGTAACATATATTTTACAAGAACTAATGCAACTTCAGACCCGCTTCTGTACATATTCATTCATAAACTATGTTAGGCTAATCATAGTTTATTAAAACTGCTTAGCTTACGATTTCTTTTGTCTATTTTATAACCTACATATCATAGACAAACGTGTCAACTGTACCATTTCTATTCCTTATTGATTGGAGGTTTTTATAGAAACCTCAGTAAAACATCTAAACTAAACAAACCTATATGGATTGACAAGAAGCATCAAATCCCACGAAACTTACGTCCATGGTTTCATATTGACTACCTCCAACCACCATCTTATCTCAACATAGTGCACGCAATGTCGAATCACCTAGATTGGTGGCCATATTGTAACTCGGTCGATAGGATTCGATCTACATTGATAAGAACCTGATATACATGACATTGATCACCACCCAGTGATCAACCGATTCTAGACAACACTAATCATTCTAACTCTTTCCTCCATCAATGTCAATTTTTTCACATCAGATCATACCTCAATGTTATATAAACAATCAAGGTTGATAATCGAATAATTAACAAGATCAAAATGTGAAAAGTGAATAAACTAATCTGTCCGGAAGCTAGAATAAGCTATATAGGCATATCATAGTACCAGCCTCTACAAGTTGAAGTCAACCATTTACAGCTCTGTAACAGTTGTCAGTTCAAATTAATCATGTTAGAACATAGTTAAAGGACAAGATAGTCCAACGTTAACTTATTATTTCATTTAGTGGCGAGACTTTAATTTATGGACGAACCAACCATGCATAAGATAACAGGTCTTGGATTTCAATGCTAAATTCACCCATCTACTTGACTAAATAGAATTTTGGCATTATAGCTGATGTCAGTTCGTGATGAAAACCCTAAATATAGTTTCTAACCTTAATCATCAACTGTAAATTAAAATTACAATATCTCACACTGGTTTATAACCCTCATTTGGTCCTGGTTATTAGGTGGACACTTTCAAGGTACGTCTGGCGTCGCTCAAAGGTCAACCATAAATTATAGTCTCACCCATTTATTCTTATAGAAGCAAAACATTTTGTACTTCATAAAATAAGGGGTACTTTCACAATAGCTTATTTATTGACAAAGATACAATGAACCAAAATAGAGTTCTTCTTCACCTTCTCAATATATCAACTTTTCAAGTATTCCTTAACATATCATTAATCTCTGGAAAGAAAGTTATATAATAAATTTTCAATCCTGTTAGAAATAAACTTCAGTTCAATGATAAATGAAATATTATTATAATATTGTCATATGGAGGCAAAACCCGACTCACGCGTCTGAGTTGTGCCTCCTGGATAGTGGGACAGATGACCCATGAACTAACATGAACGGTAACCGGGGTGGTAGAGATAAAGCTAATCACCCACTCGACCGATACCCTCAAACTGATTACGAAATCCAGAAAGAATCACAGCACAATTACTCTTGGATGGAAAAACGACAAAATATTGACAAAAGTGGTGCATGTAATGCACGTAGTTGCTCCTTATGGGGTAAACTCAAATCGGTTGCAAAAACAGCTATTCTATCCGCAGTAGTTGTGCTGTGCTTTGATGTGGTCTGTTTCTTTCCAGAAAGGCTTACTAGACTTCACCAACTTGTTTAACTTGAAGGAGGGATTGTCATAGGTTTGTTATAGAGATAATGGTGTAATGAATATTTATCCAATAGGATTTAAAGATAAAAAAATACAACAACAAAAAAGAAAACACCTCAGTCATGAGATCTACTTTTCAGTGATATAATTCTCAAGCTGTTAGCTCAAAGTAAAAACTGACTATCAATCAATCCCTTCATTGATAATAGTTAGTGATTCAGACATGACTGGTTATACATTTTAGTGGATGTTCAGAAAGTATGTCTTAAGCCCAGCGACTAGAACATGTGTAAGGGTTGATGTTTTTCTGTTGTTAATTCTTAAAACTGAATTTTGACGAGTCTCTGTTGGCTTATTTACATCATCTAATGAATCCATCAGTATTCTCTGTTGCTAAAAGTTTTATTATATCCTTGGGTTATGGCTAAAATTCTAATTGAAGATGAAATATTTAATCTTACTTTGAAACTCATCAACTAGATATTAATGTTTCCTAATGTTAATGTTAAATGTAAATGAGTTATCTAAGTTAATTGTTTTAATTATAAAGCCTCCATTACCATTCTAGATAATGTTACTAGTGTTAACTTCATGTACAAGCAAGCGTTCTGATTATATCACATACACGAAATTACTTTATCTTGATAACTTTGTTTTTGATTGATTAATTTCATAGACTAACGTATATGTAATATTAAAAGGGGTTTTGTGGATATCATATTAATTTTAATAATTGAGATCATGAGGCGCGATCGTGAGTGTACACTTCTGTGGAGTGCCATAATAGAACGAAACGGCTGTCCAGTGTTTCTAGGTTTCCTATGGTGGTTTAGCTTCAATCGACTCACGATCTCAACTATTAAAATTAGTATAGGTGATAACTAAAAAGCTTACTTTTATACATGGTAAGAAAAGACAGTCTTGTCTAGAATGATAATGAATGTTTCACAATCACATTATTTGGCTTAGACTACTTAACAATATCAAAATCAAAATCATTTCCTTCATTACAAGATGTTGTCTATAATAATGTAGATTTAATCTTTACATTCTTGACCTAGATATTCTATAACACGAATCATTTTATTTATTAAAACTCAATTATGTAAGTATTTGTTGATCGAGTTGATAATCCTTTATAAAGTGTTTATATTATTATAATAGTTGAGATCATGAGTCAGTTGAAGCTAGACTACCATGCAAAACGCTCGTGAGCGAGACTGATAGGTCCTGGGGTCGAATCTCTTGAGGTGGGATCGTGGACGCGGGTCGCTGAGGAGCCCCACAGTAGGACGAAACGGCCGTCCAGTGTTTCCAGGTTTTCCATGGTGGTTTAACTTCAAATGACTAATGATCTAAACTATTAAAATTATTATAATAATCACAAAACCCCTTGTGATGTTTATATTACATCACATTAGTTGCTTTAAAACATTCATATGTTATTGAACAAACATGTGATATATATATATATATATATATTGTTTTAAAAGACAGTATGAAAAGAATAGCGCCAACTCAACTACCTGACAGATCATAGGAACAGTTGAATTTTCAAATAAATTTATTAATATACCAGCATAGTTTTGAGCAACAAATGAACACTGAAAATTTCAATGATTAAATATAGAATTCTATTAAGCATATTAATTTTTAAGTATTAATTAATTAACCTATAAATTTTATAGTTGAATCCATGAGTCAGTTGAAGCTAGACCACCATGGAAAACCTGAAATCAATTGATAGCCGTTTCATCCTAGAATGAGACTCCTCAGCAGTGCGCATATACAATCCCGCCTGGTGAGATTCGAACCCAGGACCTGTCAGTCTCGCTCGCGAACGCTTAACCTCTAGACCACTGATCCAACCGGCATCCAACGTTTCAATTTACTCATGAATTCAACTATAAAATTACTAAAATCTCCACAAAACCACTTTTGATAATAACCTATAAATAAAAACTTATACATAAACTCAACAAAAAAACATACACATTATCAGTTTTAATAGTTGAATTCATGAGTTCGTGTATGTTATAACACCATTGAAAACATGGAAGCACACGAAAGCCGTTTCGTGATAGTAATGGACTCCTCATCAGTGAGCATCCATGATTCTTCACCAAAGGGACTTGATCTCAGAACCTTCGGTCTCGCGTTCAAACGCTTAACCTCTTAACCACTGGGCCAGTTTGCGTCCAACAGTATTAATGTTTAACTTCAGTCGATCCATGATCTTGAGCAACTATTCTAACACTGTCAGTTTGTAGTTTTTATCAGAATGCATAGTGAATCTAAATATCGACAATCATTGATAACAACTTGGAAGTAATTTATCATATGAATCAAATAATATGAGAGAACCGACTGAATTTAGTATATCAGTTATGAGTACTTAAATATTGGGTTGATCAACAAGTAGATCACCTTCAGATCACTTATTTGAATGATTAAGTTAAATAGGCAGACTTGACTTGCAACGATTGCCACCTGAAGAGTAAAACACATATGGAGCTTTCAAATAATTCAAATAATTAGTGTATTTTTTCCCTAAGTGAAGTATAAATTATTCCCTTATTAGTAAATGTCCGTTATTATTCTCAGCTCTATTGTGTACTTAGATCTTGTTCTTTTTTTAGAAGAAATCATTAATTCTTGTCGAAGGATTATCCAAGTATGCAGTTACTAGGGATATGACTGCAGAGCGTTTACTTCAAACTGTTACTTATCATGAAGTGGTCAAATTCAATTACCAGATTATTTGATTTCAATATAGAAGCTGAATTCTGCCCAAATCGTTGGTAAGACTGAAGATGACTGACTCGGTCCCATGCATACATTGATGTATGCGCTCATGAATAGTTAATCCATCATGAAACTATCATTGTAAACAAAGTATATCTCTAGAAACTGTCTGATCAACTAATCATTGATACTCAATCGCTTTTCATTGCTCATTGTCACCAGCTAAGATAACATCGCAATATATATTGAATAGACTGATATTGGAAATTTCGGTTATTGTATTCTATGTTATTCGTCTAAAAGTATGCAACTTACAGAGAGGTATACATGCCTTGAGTTTCATCTTTACGAGACATTTCTGAGAAGCCCTCCCTAATTAGGTAAAGCACCCATCCGGTACTCTTTTATCTATATTATTACCCTCGTCTGATGACACTCCATGGTGAATACCATTTTCAAATTAAATTAATCTTCAAATCTCCTCGATCAAAGCCATAACTACAAAAATATAATGATTTACTAGATAAGTCCATTTTCATAGCTTACTCACTTCAGATAAATATGGTCCAGTGAATATACACAATTGATCAATAAATTTATTAATATAGTAAGTAACTTGTGAAAGTTGTAATATGAACTTTACTGCAATCACTGTCATCTTACATCCAGTACAGACTAGAAAAAGAAAAAAAAGAGAAAGAAAGAAAGAAAGAGAGGAGAAAGGAGAGCAGAGTAAACCAGATTAATTATTTTTATCTTCTTATTGTTGTTTTCTTTTTCAGACTGTATAATAAAACAGTTTCTTCTTCATTGACAATTTTATTCAGATCAGTTGAACTTACCATCGAGATTTATCTGGTGAATTAGAAAAAAAGAAACAAACAAACAACAGAGAACAAGGAAACATGGTGAAACAATGAGTTGATTTCTTAAATGTGAACAATATATATTATAATGGAATATCTCATAAATGAATTCACTAGTTTCTAGCAATATACTTTAAAAATGTTGACTTACTTACCTACTTACTTACGCCTGTTACTTCCAATGGAGCATAGGTCGCAGACCAGCATTCCACAACCCACTCTGTCCTCTGCCTTCCTTTCTAGTTCCGTCCAATTCTTGTTCATTTTTCTCATGTCTATCTCCATTTTTCGGCGTAATCTGTTTTTTGGTCTTCCTCTTTTCCCTTGGCCTTGAGGGTTCCATGTGAGGGCTTGTATTGTGACGCAGTTGGATGCTTTCTTCAATGTGTGTCCTATCCACTTCTAGCGCTTCTTCATGATTTCTTCCTCCACTGGGATCTGGTTTGTTCTTTTCCACAATAGGTTGTTGCTGAGAGTGTCCGACCAACGGATCAGAAGTATTTTGCGTAGACAACTGTTAATAAACACCTGTATTTTCTGGATGATGTCTTTCGTAGTTCTCCAGGTTTCCGCCCCATACAGTTGAACTGTCTTGACATTTGTATTGAAAATTCTGACCTTGATGTTGGTTAACAGACAGCTGTTTTGAGTTCAAGATGTTCTTTAGTTGTGAATATGCTGCTATTGCCTTCACATCTGTATCAGATCCACCCTGTTCATCAATGATGCTGCCCAGATATATAAAGATTTTCACATCTTCCAAATCTTCTCCGTCAAGTGTGATTCGATTGTTGCGTTCTGTGTTGTATCGGAGAATCTTGCTTTTCTCCTTGTGTATATTGAGACCTACTACTTTTAAGGCTGCTAATACAGTGGTCGTCTTCTCCTGCATTTGTTGTTGCGTGTGCTATAGAAGGCCCAGATCATCTGCGAAGTCTAGATCGTCCAACTGCATCCTATCTGTCCACTGTATCTCGTGTTTCCCTTCAGATGTTGACGTCTTAATGCTCCAGCCGATCACCAGGAGAAAGAGAAAGGGTGAGAGTAAGCAACTTTGCCTGGCACCGGTCTTTACTTCGAACGAGTTTGTCAACTGTCCTCCATGTACGATTTTGCATTTTAATCCATCATAGCAATTCCATATGATAATTACATTGTTTAACTGATACATTTGAGTTCATTATGATAGCTAGTGTTTTTTTGTGGGGGGGGGTGTATAGGAGATAGCCTTCTTCTGAAAGACCCTTTAACATTCTTCTTTCAACTTTCCACAATCTAATAAATTGAATGATATCCTTATATTCATTGGTGATTAAATTTGTTAAAAGATCACTAAAGTGTTTATGAGAAGTCTTACTCGATGAAATTCAACTAATTATGAAATTGAGACAATTGTACTTGGTGATATTATATAACGATTGCGTTATTTCATGAATTCGAAATGTAAACCATTAGATTATAACTGATTAATCTAAAGATAAAATGGTCACTATGATACCTTATAGTCCTGAATTTCACTTATTTTGTGTAGGGGTTCGGAATGATCATTGTCAAAGAGTTTCAGATTAAAACAAAACAGTATTTTAATGATTCCTGTTTGTTTTACTTTTTGTTTATTATTTTTACAACATTGGAATAACACCATTTTGCAAGTTGTGTACACTCCCTTCGATTCAATGGGTCGAAACTTAATGCGGTTCAAACTATATTTTATTAGATCAAATGATTTCTATCTTCGTTTTATCACAAGGGCTAAAAGTCAAACCAAGTTTGATTACGTGATAAGGTGGACTGATAGTCATTATCAACTTGTTTCGTGAATGTTCCTATGATTTTTAATTTATAATTATAGAGAATTTAAGACTAAAGTAAATCATATTAATTTCGGTTACTTATTTGTCTATTTTGGAGATCCCCCAAATGCCCTGATACGGGCAAGAGTGGGGAGATTCAAGTTTCTCTCTCCAAATCCTCTCACATGGCCGCGTGCATACAACCACTGATAGGGAAGTCCTACTCACTGAATTCTCGCAGTGGAGAGGTTGTTTACGAAGTTGAGAGGCACTTTAAGTGGAATGGTGGACATGGAGAGTTCACCTAGGAGAGTTGGAAAACCCTGATTCCAAACCAATGGTGAACATGAGCTCCAGTATCCTGAAGGAACAAATGGAGTATGAACCTATTGTTGGTCACCGGCTACCATGGGACTGCATCTCCTGACGTCGCTCCACTACCTTGTGAATCAGATTTTTAGCTTGAGGGCTCCGGGTGTGACCCCCTAAGAAAACCACCAGCTTTGGTTTGGGCACCCGAGTAGTATCCCAGCCCTCGCACAAATCAAATGATTTATGTGGCGCATATCTATTTGGCGCATCCTTGTACCAATCTTTGTGTGTGTAAATAAATAAATCAAATAGTTTGGAGAAGTGATTTACTTTAAATGATAGAATGTCGATACTGTGTTTATTTGAAATTATCAACTGAGACTTTGATATTGACACCTACATGTAAATTTCACTGATATTAATCATTTAAAATATAGATTCTCCGATCTAATCTAGATCGCTCAAGTATTCTAATGATCTTGGTAACTGCTTTATTTGGTTTTATGACTAGCCTTCAAGCAGTCAGTCAAGCTGTGAGGTATAGCTTCCAGTTATTAACTAAAAGTAAACAACATTCATGGGATTCGTCTTAGTATAACTGGTCTGCGGTCAACGGTAAAATCCACGCGTCAAGTTTCATCCTATTTGGAACTCTACGGTTGACTCCTTACCTAAATCTCAGTATTAATATTCACATTGAGATTCAAACCCAGTACTATAGGTTTCAAGAGTCAAAACGTTATCCCCTGAACTCCTGTAAGCAGTAGATAGCTATGGCCTAAAAGTTGACTATCCACTAAAAGATCTGAAATTCTTTTGTCTGATCCAAGGTGGGTTATGGATCATCGCTGATGATAAGTCTCTTACTAAGACAAAACATTGACCCAGTGTCTCCTAGTTTTCGATGGGTCTCTTTAATTTAAATCATGAAATTCAACAATCTTTATAAACGCCCTATGGTAAAACAATGTAAACTTACTTTATCTGGTAATTTACCATTATGTTCTTGAAATAAAAGATCGATTATAAAATTTGCAAATGACTCGCAGGAAATTTCAGATTTCTAGAGAAGAACAGATGAATAGAGAGCAGAAACATTTCGTTTAAATTAGTTTCTTTATCTGAATCATAGTTCTATACTTATTCCCAAATGGTGTTGTTTGCTTGGATCTTCCCATTGATGTTTAGGACTGTAATTGATCAGTCTCTAATTGGTATATATGTATCCTGTGAGAATTGCTTCAATATTACTTTGAGTCACAAGCGTTATGAGTAATGATGGATAGTGGCTAGCAGTGGAATCCAGGACGTGCATTTCGTCTTATTTGGGGCTCGTAAGCTGGGTGTACCCCGTTGCACAAACAAGTGGCTATTAGGACTCAGTAACTAAGTAGATAACGTGATGGTGCTTGAACCGAATAGTACTGGATTTGAGTCGTGGAGTGAACACCAACTATGGGATGCAGGTGCATCCAACTTACGAGTCCCAAATAAGACGAAACGTGCGTCCTGGATTCCACTGCTAGCCAATATCCATCATTACTTATAATGCTTGTGACTCAAGGTAATATTGAGATAATCCTCACAGGATGCATATATACCAATAAGAGACTGATCAATTACAGTCTTAAATATCAATGGGAAAATTCAAACAAACAATTCCAAATGAATGTAAACTTATTCCCAAATGATTTACAATTCTAAATCTAAGGTTCAATAATGAATATTTTGATATTAATAATATGCTATATGTAAAGTGATATTTTGTCTTGATTATCTACTCAAGGTGAAGAATTCACTTTTTAAGCTAAAAGTTGCTCAAAAATCTAGTCAGCGTTCATAAACTAAAACATGTGCATCGATTCAGTTTGGTGCACTACATCGTTACAATAAGATGTAATCATCAAGATGAATACCAAGGTAGTAGACGTAGTGGTGGTATCACCAGCTATAAAAAAACTAAACTTAATGAATATGATTTTCAAAGAATGAATACATGACATAAAAGGTATAGAATAATTTTTGAACACAAAATCTAAGGGTATACAAAGAGTGAACGCATCACTGCTATTAATTCAGAACAATATCACCGAGCATTGGCAGTTGTTCATGATAATCATGCAGACCCAAAACAAGCAGTAGCCTTCAGCTACCAACAGTCAATTAGATAATGAACGTTTAGGTTTGGCAAACCTTAGTTTTTTCCAGGTTACTCTTATAACACCCAGCAAAAATTATGAGCTTACGTAACTGTAGAATTCACAATTGGTATGAAAGAGATATCTCTTTGGTGAATTTCAGAAATTTATTGAAAGAAACTGATCGGTAAGTGTTACGTCCTTGATCTGTCTACCGACTAATATACAGAATATAACATGTCTCAATCTGGAATAAAGTATCAACACGATAGGCTGACTTGTTTAATCTTGAGGCTAGAATACATGAGTTCAAAGTGAGATGAACTGTCTTGCGTAGAAAGACGAAAACTATTCTATCACCTGATCGGTTGACAAGCGAGAGAGAGAGAAGACAAGTCAACTGGAACACCACTCTATTTATTTTCAATTTTCCGATTAACAACTCCGATTCAGATTAGTACAAAAAGATACATGAATAAATAAATGACTAACATGACCACAACGTACAAACAATTAGGAAAATACAATTATATCCTAAACTGGGGATTAGGTTAGAAAAATAAAGTAGCAAAGGTTATGGTTACATTACAATAGTTTTAAAACAGAAAAGAGTATACCAGTAAGTCATACATCAACCAAAAGCTCATAGTTTGTAGAATAACCTAGAAACAAAACTAAGTGTTAATATTTTACAAACATTGAATTAAATGAAATAACACCCCCCCCAAAAAAATAGCTTCCATTATTTATTATGGCATTTTAGTTTCTCTGTTCACATCAATGACAAGACCTATTGTTAGTACTATCTCTAATGTAGCACTTTAAGAATCATTTCAATATAACAAACAAATTTTCATCCAGTACTTTCAAGTTTTCAATAGTAATCTAACATGAAGCAATTCATGATCTCAATCAAAAAACCTTAACAATCTCCACAACTCCGAAATATAAAAGTACTGTTAACTATCTGTTTCAACTTATCACGTTGGGTAGAAATAGGTGTCTACCTCAGTACAATGGGAGATGGTCGCGCAACTTCGTGAACTGGTTGAAGTTAGACATTAACACAATTGGATGCCGGTTCAGTGGTCCAGTAGGTTAAGCGTTCGTGCTCGAGACTGAAAGCCCTGGGTTCGAATCTCACGGGGAGGGACCGTGGATGAACACTGCTGAGGAGTCCCATACTAGGATAAAACGGCCGTCCAGTGCTTCCAGATTTTCCATGGTGGTCTAACATCAATCGGTTCATGATCACAATCGAAAACTCAACAATCTCCACAACTCATAAACTGATTATCACGTTTTATATCTGTTACTAATTATTGTAGAGAATTAATACACTTTAAAAAATCGATTATAATTCTATTTATTTATTCACTTTCATTTATCTCTTATAAAGATAAACCAAACTATCAACATATGATCTAGTTATATCATCGATTTAGATTTGATTTTCTTTTTATAAAACTTATTTATTTAGATCAGTATTTAAAAATTTGTTACTTATATGCTAATTTTCATCGAGTATTCATTGAATAAAACATGCATAGCAACAAAAACTTACATAGATACACATTTATTATTATTTTTTTGTAATGAAATTCATTGTGAAACTCATTTTATCCAGGGAAATTTTTTTTTAAAAATCAGGTGTCAACTGGTATAAATCAATCAACTTCTATTTTTTTCCGAATAAAAATCTAGACAAGTTTACAAGTTTAAGTATTTGGTTGTCAAGTCTAATACTAAATTGCCTGAAAGATGAGTTCTAATTATAAATTAAAAAAACAGTGAGTTGATCAAACAACCCCCTGTTAAATAGTGAATGAATAGATGATTGATTTTTAAGCGTTAACAGGATTTGTAGCAGGCGAATATGCTACACTGTACATTTCTAGGATGAGATATGGTGATTTGTCAAGGATATATATAATCAGACAGGAGTTTTGTGAAGATTGTAGTAATTTAATAATTGAATTCATAAGTCAATTGATTACTACAATTATTACAAACTCCGAAAAACCCTTATCTGATCATAATCATCATATGATCAGTTGTGAGTGGCTTCAAGAGTTATTTTCTGGAATTCTAGTGAGAAGCAGTGACCAGTGGAGATCAACCGTGTCTGTTGTGAGATAGTAACTCACTTATGACAATAGCGGACGGTGGCGCAATTTCGTGGATTGGTTGAAGTTAGACATTAACACCGATGGATGCCAACCGGCTCAGTGGTCTAGAGGTTAAGCGTTCGCGCACGAGACTGATACATCCTGGGTTCAAATCTCGCGGGAAGGGATTGTAAAATGAACACTGCTGAGAAGTCTCATACTAGGATAAAACGGCCGTCCAATGCTTCCAGGTTTTCTATGGTGGTCTAGTTTCAATTGACCCATGAGTTCAATTATATATCTATCACGTAAACTATGTTGACATGTAAGATGGTGTGTGGAGAAAGTTTGTAGGAATCCTTGAATTCAGATTCCATGCTATATAGCCCTCATCAGCGAGGTTTATCTGTAATTGTGAGGGAATTAAGACGCGGATGTATCGTCTCTGATTTTTAAATTGGGTGACAAGTGATAGGATCTAGCAAGGAGCACTGATTCCTTCACAATTACAGGTACATCTTACTAACAAGTGACAAATAGCATGAAATCTGCATACAAAGTCACTTGTCGACTACCATAAACTAACACCTTACGATTATCTAATGTTTCAAATTGTTCAAAAATGTGTAGGAATGATATAGTAAATAGATTGGAGACTAACAAGAAGTAATATTTTCATGGAATGATTGAAAGTGTTTTGCTAGCGTTAGTTCACAGCTAAACCCATAGATTATTTTTTCGGATACAATAAACAAAAATCATCAGAAATGCTGATATCAATCAAAACTTACTTTATTTATAGAAACATTTGCTAGTGTTTGTATACATTCCTTTTGTATGTGTAATTTTATTGTTTGATCTATAAATAATTCTGTATTTAGTAGATTGTTCCATTTTTCAGAAGCTAAGTCAAAAGCAGAATTAAAAAAAAAGAAAACTCCATAGCTCAATGTCATGTCATAGTTTGGTGCCCCCCCCCCCTCTTGGGCATTCTATGGTAGAATAAAGAAAACTGGATACGGTTGACTACCGACTAAAGGAAAAAAATAATAAACAATTTCACCCACTCTCTCTCTCATATTAGTTCTTTTCTATTCTGTTAATTCACATTTGTGGTGATTACTGATTTCACTGTTTCAGTTGACATATTAACTTATTCAAATTAATAAATAGTAACTAGTCATTTCAATCTTGACAGTTTTATTCAATTAACAATCTTTAATGTCGAATTGAACATTGCGTACTTTATTGAATCATCATATTGAGACATTCAACTATAGAACTTCATGTGAAATTGTTGGGGTGATCCAGAAAATTGCTTGCAAAAGACAAGGAAGCATCAGGAAACACTAAGAAGCGTTTCATCTAATCAGCGTCCACTTGGAGTTTTTGCCAAAAATATCAAGGAAGCGAAACGTCACATGCAGAGGCTCTGATTGGTTGGCTGCTACACTGCTACTATGTTTAGTAGCATTTCCAGAATCTTCTAGCAACCCAAGGACATTTAAAATATTATAAAAACCCTATATTTTCTGTATTAAAATGAACCTTGGAGTAAACTACTTCTCGCATATTTTGAGTCTTCTCTCTCGTGTTCAGGTCGCTGTTTAGTTCTTGATTGGGGGGTTACAGAATAGCTTAGGAGACAAATATAGCGTTCTAATCTGCAAGACTTATCGGAAATCATTGAAAAAAATACTATTCTTCGTTTATATATCCATAATTTCTATAGACTAGATTAAAATGAACAGTTACTGCTTGAATATCTGGGCTACCTGTTCCTTCTATCTGAATATATTTCAACAAGTTATCTGTTTTCTAGTCTGTTTTAACACATTATTATGCCTATTAGTCACATAACCTATTCAAGTGCGTTTATGAAAAGTTTACAACATTTCACTGAACTAGTTACAAAAGAGTCCAATCACAGACATCATGGTTGCTGGTAATATGCACTGAACAGAATGAACATTATTTAGATATTGATTCCAGAACTGTTAACATCTAACTGGCGATCATTCAATATTTATCACAAGGATATGATCAAGAAATAAGAAAAGGGAACTTGTTGAAATACTTTGTGCTGAGAATTCGATATTCTATCAAAATTAGTAATATTGAATAAAGCCAATAACAATAATAATAATAATAAAATATCCTATCACTTTGTAAGTAGTATCTATCAAGAATTAAGTAAGGGTGAAATAGTGTTCTTTAGCCAAATTATTTTTTTTGAAAATTTATTATATCAAATGTAATATTAAAAATATAACTCCGCCTGGATTCCCTCCGGTGACTACTGCCGGTCCCAAGCCCGGATAAAGGAGGAGGGTTGGGGCGTGGGGTTAGTGACCCCATCCCGTAGAAAACTAACTCGCTAAAAAAAACGCTAACCAGAAAAAAATATATTAAAAATAATAAGATCATAGAAGATCAACTTACGTATCTTTTCTTTGGTTGAATCAATCTAAAAAAAGCCAAATAAAGTTATCTAACTTAAACCTATGATCATCACTAGGGAATGAAACGAATATTTTAAAGGAAGACAATTTTGTTTTATATTCAATGATTTCATTTCAACAACAACAAAAAAACAAAAAAACTATGATTACGTAACATAACTTATCCACAACCTCTTTTAGGAATATAAACTTACATCATACCAATACCATACTTAGGGTACATTAACATTGAATTGTTGAGATCAGAACCACATTGACTTTCATACTGGATTAAGTATAATATAAAATGATTAGTGGTTGATAATTCATTTAGATTTTGTCGTTAATTGATTTCGATTGAAGACATTTCGTAACTACTTGTTATATACTGCATAAAGATAGTGTATTTTTAAGAGTAATCTATGCTCTTTCATTATATATATAATGATAAACTTTATTGGAAAGATAACTGACTGTCTACAAATATTAACTCATCCTCATTTATGAAGTATGATTATGCATCATGACATAATTGTTGTTCAGTAAGGTAGTATATCCGTTTATAGGTTCATCAATGATAATCAATATAGAGTTTTTCACAAATTTATGTCAGCTCATTTGGATATACTTCATTAACATGACATGAAATTAACAGGAATGGTGAAGAAGTCGAAATAATTGTACCCAGCTATGAAAAAGAGGGTAGACTAAAGAGAAAGAATATGGTTTAAGAAGAACAATTGAAGAAGTATGCGGAAAGAAATACTGGTATTCAAAGTTCAGGTTAAGATAAAGAATGAATGTAACTGATTCTGAACTATGCCCTATTAAATCTCCATCTACTGATAGCGCTTATCACTTGAACTCTAATCAAGTAGTCTGTATCCGCGAACATGATTCAAACCAACAATAACTTCATAGACTGATGCTTTATCTAGGTTTAGCAATGACCTACCCAGCTTTATTTTAACCTATTCTCACTCCAGCCAACATAAAATACTGAAGTAGGAGTTAGTTGATGGATATGTAGTACATATCACAACCACATAACTCCACCTGGAACCCCTCTTGGGCTACTGCTGGTCCCAAGCCCGGATAAAGAAGGAGGATTGGGCATGGGGTTAGCGACCTGATTCCGTAGAAAACTAACTTGCCAAAAAAAACGCTAACCATAAAAAATAATTCAAACCATCTAAGCTCTGCCCTGGGTGTTAGAAGGTGTTCATTTAGACGCCTCATGATGAAAGCCGAGTTCCTTCGGAAGTCACGAAACTGATGCCCCATCTTACAACCAAAGCAACCATTAATTTAGGTACATGGAAAAGTAAGTCACAACCACCTCAGTCGATAAAGATTCTGTAAGTGGAGAAATATAGTACACCAATATAATCTTAGACTTATTAAATATAACTACAACCTAGATAATTAGCATTGGTTCTATGTAAACTGGGTTAATATAACAAAAGTAAAGTTGGTTAAATGATACTATTATAATGATTATATAATCTAATATTGGATAGAATAACTTCATTTGTAAATCTCATTAGTCAAAATGAATACAGAAATAGACAGATTATGATTTCAAAACAAAACACTCACCTGTAACATTAAATCCAATATTATTAGACCTGTCGATTTAAAATTGATGATGATTAGTTAACATTAGAATAAGGGTTTATGGAGATTATAATGATTTTAATAGTTGAATTCACGAATTAATCTAAATTAGACCACCATTGCAAACCTGGAAACACTGGATGGCTGTTTCATCCTAATGTGGGACTTCTCAGCAGTGCGCATCCATGATCCCACACCAAAGTGACTCGAACTCAGAACTTTCAATCTCATGCGTGAACACTTAACCTCTAGACTACTGAGCCGGTAGGTATCCAATGGTGTTAATGTTTAACTTTAATCAATCCATAATCTTGAGCAACCATTCATTCATTATCTAAGGTAGATAGCTGTCTCTAACCGACGCGAACTGGAAAGACAAAAAACAATTTAAATAATCTTACATGATAGAATGTGAATGATTAACATTTTATCTTTAAATACCATAGATTATGCGTATAATCTTTCAAAGGTTATTCATGGACTATTTAATTTACACTGTTTTGTTTTTATATTTTAATTTAGCCAACAATATAACGTGTATAATTGATTATTCAATGTTATGGATATTACCTAACATGTTTTCTTTATATTCAAGAGACATCAGGGCGAAGAGTAATCTATTCAACCTTTGATCATTTGTTGCTACACTTGTAATTAGTAAATTATTGAAGCCAATTAAAATATAAATGAATAAATATAACATAACTTATCGGATTGGAAAACTTTGACTTTGCTATGTATAGCGCGTTATTTGAGAGCAATGATGTATTATAAAAATTAGTGCCATCTCCAATTAGGTCAGAAGACGTTCATTCTTAATTAGTATCTAGGTATGTAACTGATCACTCTCGTTTTAAGGCTCCATATATATTTTAAAATAAAATAAAAAATTATACCTAAGACAATTATAATAGGCTAAGTGGATGTTCTTTTCAGTTTACATCACAGACTGACTATAAACTAGACAACTGTTGGAAACTGATAAGTACTTGATTATCGTTTTATCCTATTATGTAAATTTTCAAAGGTACACAATCATACCCTTGTCAGAAATAGAATTTAAGACTTGGAATTCTCGTGGAGAGCTCTTTGTCTTTCAATGTTTTAAGCACGACGCTAATTTCTGCTTACGTATCTACTAAGAACTGTGCCTCTGTCGTCTGGTCCTGTATGTAAAACAAACGACTGTTCCTAGGAGTTACGCCTGCTGACGTAGTTGTCGCCGACAACCCGCTGGATCATTTTTAAGTTGTGTTATTTTAAACCTACAAGGTGGTCTACGCTTTCTAGTCCTGTTACCATGTGTTTGATGATGCCAACACATATCGAAGGAGCTAAGCGTCTCTTCGAGGATGATAGGCTCCTAGTGAGCAACCTGTTTTGTGACCATCTTTGTGGTCTGTCAGTCTGAGTCGACTTTGTCAATATGTGGCATAAAATACTTAACTCTCTCTGTAGCGTATCGATCCTGTCGTCTACCGTTGTGTTGCGTAATTATGGGTCGCTGACTCTAAAAGGTGGGATAGAAATATTAAGGGACCTCACGGACTGCGTTTTAGAACAACTTAACTTAGCGTACTCTGACATGTGTACAAACAATAAGTAGTACACAAATAAAACAATGTATGTGTAAAGAAGGGAAATAAACCGACAATAATAGTCATAATAACAAACGATAAAATGTTATAAAACAGAATAGACGAACTGAATTACACCAGTGTATTAACTGTATGTAAAACGTTTTTATTTATTATTGTTAATGGAGTTAATTATGTCCCACAATATTTATGAGATAATGTACGTGTAGTGAAAATAACGATAATGGTAATTCACAGCAATAATAATCCACAAAAGTAATCTGAATTGAGACAAAGTGTGTTGATTTTCGAATTTAGATCGTACCGTAGAAAGCTGAGTTCCATTCGCACTTTCGGCTCGCCAATTCTGTAGTGAATTATCTTTCAGATAATTCCTAAATCTTTGTCTATCATTTGTCCTGATAACTGTTATTAAATAATTACCAAACGGTTTATAAATTTCAGAAGACAATACGAAGCGTTGACTACAGCTAGTAAGGATAGATATGTGTGAAGGCTGTAGCACGTAATCAAGAATACAGACATGATAATGATGATACAAAGAACTGCGAATTGTTACTGTCTGAACGACAGTCTGTTAAATAAGTTAATTGAAGAGTTTGGCAAAATTAAGCGTAAGCGAACTCAAGTGTAAGGTAGGTGATATGTTCTTTTCCAGGTTGAGCGATTTCCTCACTTATACGAAGATTGTGAAAGAAAACTAGAGGATGATTACCACTGATTCCTATTTTGAGGGATACTTGATAACGTCTCAAAACACTGAGTTGCACCACCTTTAAGTCGCCATCAGAATAGTTGCTACGCATCAACATATGACAGTATTATTTCTTTTATTAAACAAAGCCATGTCGTAAACGGATCATCCCTACTTTTTCGAACCAATAATATCGTTGTCATGTAATGTATGATATAGCCACTAAAAATAGCATTTGTGTGACACGTTCAAGTCACAGGAGTAGGTGTTAGATGATGACAATGACCGGATTTTTGCCACTGTGCCTGAACACACTTTGCCGAATCTCTGTATTACTAACACGGTGTCCCCACTGAAGATCAGCAATCTTTTATGGACGATGATGGCCAAAAATTTTTATCATTCTTAATCTGGACAGTTAAGTTTTGTAAGCAGAGAGCGGAACTACTCACATAGACGCGTCGTAAATGCGATGTCATTGCAAGACTAACATAACGAAGAGCTTATAGCCTGGTTGGGCACAAGCTAATCTGCCTTCGGAAGATGCAAAGTAAATCCAAAGCCTACATAAGCTTATTACCAACGGACAAAATCAAACCACCACACAGTAAGATAACATCTGTGTACTCAAGGTAGGAAAGTTTTTCTCCAAGCAAAACCGCTCTATTCCCTCCGCTTAGTCACTCAGATGATACTGGCAGTGACTCCTAAAGTTATCCCTCTGTTTATCGCTTAACTTACTATTGCTGAAAAGTTCAACAGAATTCATTGACTTTGAAAAATGTTAAAATATTTTTTGTTTTTATAACTGCTTATTGTACATTATATTATCTCTTATTACCCCACCCCTTTGCTGGCTTATGAGTACTGACTAGTATGAAAGCCTAAGTCAAAGATGACTTTCTGCCAATCAAATCAAAACGCTAACAACGAAATGTAGTGTACACGATTTCCTGTTATTCAGACTAGTAATAATCATATTGTATGTTGGTCGACAGGACTTATTCAGTGTTAAGAACTAGTTAACTATAACTTTGATCGAGATAGAGATTGATAGCTTAAGTCAATGATTCTAATAGAGCTTCATTCCTTGGACAAAGTGGATTAATCGTGGGACTTCCGTTGTTCTTTAGAACAACAGTATCTTGTGGTTAATACTTACAGTCATGCAAGTTTCAAGTCTGAACAATAGAAGGTACATCCAATGACTTCTCTTGTTTTCTGATTGGGGAGTTGATGGCATAAAACATTTACATGAACCAATCCCCATTGCATACAATGTGGATTTGTTGTGGGAATTAGTGTTATTGACAATGGTGGAGAATTCAACAGATATGACCATAATAAGTCTCTCAAATATTATGGTTATAATCTAAGTTATCATCACTCGGTTTACGTACCTGGTTTTTAATCGCAATTTTTATATGACGGTTAGTAGGTGTAACAGCGTTCGAAAATGAGACCTACAGACTTAAACCTGAATGCCTTTATCACTAACCCAACGTTTCTATGTAAATTTGATTCTCAAACAAGCATAAACAGATGTTAGTTGAGGTTTAATTTTAGTGGAACAGTAACTTAGTGATTAAGGCCTTCGACTTTCAATCACTAGCTTGTAGGTTCAAGGCTCGTTACATCTAACTTGGCTTAATCAGCCGGGAAGTATCACTAGTCTTAACATATATGAAGCGTGAGTCAAAGTCGAGTATACGAATCATGTATTATATTATTATATATTGTCTTCAATGATTAAGGTACGAAACCACTTGATGATGAACAATCACAAGGTTAATATCAAGATAAGTATATAGCTCTATCCACTGATTAACACTAAATCTACAACCAGTATGACCACCATAAGAATCTCAATAGTATGGATGAAAAACTCACTACATGGTAATTCATTTCATAGTAAACGCAGAATAGGCCAAAAAATATATCAATAATAATTGTTAGAAATAAATACAAATGTACAAGTCAACAACAGTAAGTGGAGAGCGGAAGGGAAAGAGAAGTAGCAGTGTCTGAAGTCAAATCAAGTATCTACATGACGAAAAGTAATGGATAATAATAGTAATACATTTCATCTTAAGAGAAAATAATGACGAACAATCGTAATAGAGTTTATTTGCAAATCCCAGTTTGATGTTCGAATCTCTCTCGTTTATTGTGCGTTTTACTAAAAAAAATTAGAAAAAAATGGAGAGAACAGCAGTTATTCTTAATAATGAAAGTTATAATTTTAATGTAGTTCATGAAGCCGTGGCTATATGGTTAAGATGTTCGACGACTTCTAACTACTAAGTCTTAGGTTCGAATACCACTTCGTTTAATTTGATCTAAGCAACCGAGTTTTAAAACTAGCCCTAATACTTGGTCTGTGACTTAAAACCAAGTACACAAATCTGTAATTGATAAGCAATTGTATATTAATCATAGTCTAATACAATTTATTTACTAACTATAGAATTATGATGAAATAATATCGGAGATTTATGGCTCAAATGAATACTTTCGATAATGTTGCGTTTTCTGAGTAAGGTGTTGATGATGTTGTCTAGAATGATAATGAAAACATTGCACATTAAATCAACCAGTTCAAATAATATAACATTACTAATACAGCTTATGTGTTCAGCCCAAACTGACATATGTGAAGAGTGAGGTTCAAAAGTATGACTTATTACTTAGAAGCTACTACTCCATGTAATTGTTATATAATGTTTCAAGTTGATTCAAAATGATTAAGAAAATGTTTTATTAGATCAACAACTATCTACGATCTTAATGAACTTCGATCAGATTGTTCAAGTTTGAATTAAGTAAAGCTACAGTCATTCGTATGGTGTATTCTTGAATATTTAGTCAATCAATTGCTAATTATCATCATACCATATTATAATAATCACAATAGTATGAGTTAATTTTAACTCCGCCTGGAGTCCCTCCGGGGGCTACTGCCGGTCCCAAGCCCGGATAAAGGAGGGTTGAGCATGGGGTTAGCGACCCCATCACGTAGAAAACTAACTCGCTAAAAAAGAGCTAACCAGAAAAAAATTATTCAAAGTATGAGTTAATTTTAAGTAGAGAGAGAGAAAAAAACATCAATTTGTTTAGAAATAAACCACAAATCATCATCCCGATCAATGATACTACAGAGTTAATGAAATTTTTTTTGAAAAACAGTGGAATTTCTTTATTTTACATGACATACATTATATAAAGACATGAAACTAAGGTTATAGAAACTTTACAAAACTTATGATATATTAGTCTAATCACCCTTTAGAATACTCTTTAATTATAATAATAAACTAGTCTGATTTTGATTGCTCAAATCATCAACAGAGGCTAACAGATGTGAAGCGTTCCAGCTGCCCTCTGATTCTACCTACTGATTTTGTTCAGATTGTTGAGGTTCTAAAACTAAATAATCATTTTGCATTTCAGAAACACACATAAATAACAAAAGGTTCAGTTTGGTGAGTATATAAGGTGGTTATATGTATACAACGTACTTGAAACACCGTTGGCAAAAATTATCGTCACATTCTCTGCACGAAAATTCAGCAACTCCATCACACATATAGCACGAAGGAAAATTTTCCTTTTCAGTAGGATCATCATCCAGACCAAAATCAACGCTACATTTTGAATCGATCCGTGCTTCTTCAATGTACTAAAAATGTAAAGTGTAATATAAACAATAAGGCAGTCGGCCTTAGTGAGAAAACTAATCAGAATGTGCCAGTAAGATGACTTCAAACGCAAAGAAAGACTAGTTATGAGGTTAGTACTTTGATCACTGCCTACTTTACAATTATTCCCCAGACTATATATTAAATTGTTGTATTGAATGCATCTTTACTAATCGAAAGTAACCCCATTTGAAAAATTGGTTGTTTTGAACAACAGTCTTTACCAGCAGGATTCTTAATAAAAAACTCGTATTGGCCGCCTATTTCTGGTTGATTAACTGTAGATTAACCATATTACAGTGTGTTCTAGGTGTTTAATTTTTGTATGAGTGAAGTTTATTATTTCGGAAATTTCAACTTATAAAAATGGTATTTACTGATCAGTTTGTGAAATTTATACTGTTTTAAGTATTACAGATGAATTCGTAAACTTCAAGTTTCCGACCGTTTCCTCAATATAAAAACTAGGTTTAAGTTTTACCATAGTACGAACTACAATTTATATTCACATTTAGTGATGCAACAACTCGGTCCATTCGGTAAAATATTGAAATGACCGAGATTTGAAATGAAAATTTGATTACGAGACGGATTCTTCTAAATCTCAAATGAATCGATTTTACGAAACAAAGCAAATGATTTATAAGATCATCTACTATATGCTTTTTACCGACTTCATCTTTGGCTGAGTTCAAACAGCCAGTTAGTTACAAACAACTTACAATCTGATACATATATGCACCAGCTCGAATTATCGCCACACTTCAGTGTAGAGATGATATTATTAAGATATATATCATGGCCATTGGTCAAAATAATAACGTCGACGACAACAGGGATGTCTGAACTTACCAAAATGGCTTAGACCAACAGTCAATGACTTTATGGACTGATGCCATGTCTTGACAGCCCTTAGCTTTCTTCCAACTTACTCCCATTCTAGCCAACATCAAGTATCGAAGCAAGAAGTTGGGCATATGTAACGAATGTCCTGATAACGTCAGTCGATGAGGATTTACAATATTATCGACCGATACACCATCTTTACTGAATACTTGATCAATATTCCCACAATACGACAGCACTGTTTTGAAGACAATAATAAACAAACGTTCTTAACCTACAAGTGTCCTCTACTTTTAAAGACTACTTTTAATAAGCATGAAGTAAAATAGAGCAAAATGCTGTGGATTAAACTCGCCCTTTGATTTATTGAATTTATGAATTGAACTGGACATCGAATTAATAACATACGTTTAAGATAAGGAATTTGGTTAACGTAATGCAGTCGATCACCAGTGTTCTAGCAAGCTATGTTACCTAAAACTCAGAAAACTATTCAGTAATATGTCTTTTTAAATAATTCAGTATTATATATTAACTGTTAGAGTACATGATTTAGATTTAAAACAATGAAACTGTGTAGATGTTAAGCCATACTTGACATTTTATTGAACAAAAGTATATTTTAACATCTTGTACCACAATACTGTTTAATTCGTAAATCAAGAGTTCACACTAAGTATACAGCGGTAGCTTGGTTTAAGAGATAAAAACAAGTGAGTTTAGCCATAATTGATCCATGAATAACAACAACTAGTTAATTTTGCATGTTATTTAGGCGTGAGTTTACACAAATAACAAGTTCGAATTTTCTAGCACTAAAAAATTTGAATCGATTCTATTTTAAGCAAAGTTGATTATTTGATACGGTACGGTACCATATACTGAATTATTATCCCTTGACATGCTCCAAAGAGTAATAACATGCGATCAGGAAATTCCTTTCACAAATATCAGATTGATAATCGATTCATAATTTTCTATTATTTCAACCAAGAAATATAATTTATGCATTAAAAACCCAGTGAATGACCGCTTTTTTTCTAAATATCTGCAAACTTTACAGCAGTTTAGTATAGCATCTCTAATTCTTATTAAAATATATTTCTCCAACAGCTTAGTTGTTTATTTTTATTGATTCTATTGTATGGAACTTAACATGTCTAGTTGATGAGATACATTTGTATTAATTTTATAATTCCCTGACTCAGAACTCGATATATTTTCTAATTACTTAATTGTTCTTTAGTATATAATACTGTGATAGTTTTCAAGCACATAAAGCTTCTTAATAATTAGTATGATGGACAAATATACGACACAAGGTATTCAGAACATGTTGTTTCTCGGTTTGAACTCAATAAAAACCAAGTAATACACCATAACCACAGAACTTATAAACGATACATTGTCCATCATCAATTAAATACTCAGTCAGATTAAATCGGGAAATATGAAGACCAACTGTAACTGAAAGTACGATTGAAGGTATAACTAACCCGTTCCACAAATTTAGAAACTTGATCGGTCTTTGACAATGAAGAGTTTTCAGAAGAAGCAGGTTTTTCCTCAGTCAGTCCTTTGAGCTGTCGAAATCGATATTCTAAAAGAGAAACATCTTCTGCTATAACCAAAATGCTGAGAAACATAGCTTTTACCTTTGACTTGATTTTTTTTAAGGTTCTCAAACCTCTTAACAAGTTCATCAGTCTTCGGATCTGAAAGAGTTTATACCTAAAATAAAAATGTCTTAAGAAATTTTTATACCATTGCGTGAGCGAACTTCTTGATTAGTTTTATTAGGTTTTAGATTTGATGCTACAATAAATGCACGACTGGTACATTAACCGAAAGCAGGAATACCTTGAAGAAGCGAATGAGCAAAGTTTTTCTTCAGGGTCATTCACACTAATAGCTTATTTTAAAAAATTAGCAAACAAATTACCTTTTTTTATCATAATAACAATCCAAACATACTGGCTTGATTTTTTTAAGTTTAAACCTCAAACAACTCGAACACTGTACTGAGCCACACATTTTACAGGATTTCTGCTGACTATTTAAATTAATTTTTGAATACCTTTTTATTCGATGATGAAAACTCAACTCTACATAACTCACAAAACATATTGAAGAATAAAGGTGGTTCACCGTCTTTACAATAGTTTTTAACGTGTAAATTGAGCAGGTCTCTAGAGAAAATTCAAGACAGTGAAAAGCATGAATCATTGGATATAAAGAACTGGTTATTGAGTTCATGATTGCAACACACTGATTATCACATGTTTCTTAATGAGGCTCATATCAATAAACTACGGGTCATAAAATCTCACAAAATCACGCTAAGACCCAGAAAACTTTCGTACACTTCTGTTTATCCTGTAATATACCAGTTGTGTTTTGATCTCTTCTGTGGAAGACTTATACGCTAGTCGATTTTTTAAACATCAAAATGGAGTCAAACTTATTATTACACTGGTCAGCGAGAATCCGCTTTCATTTGACAGATAAAGACCCTTGGGTTTTAATATTAGGTGCTTTCTTGTAATTATCATCAAAACTGACTACCAAATGAAACAATTTCCTAGCTAAAACAGACGTGCTTTGGGATCTTCCCAAGCAACCAATAAATGGAAAACAAAAATAAACAAACAAAGAACAAAGCGGAAGAAAGCGTAAATAAAGGGGAGATGTCGATTTTTTCCTTTCACATCGGTTATTTTGGGGAAACATCAATTATTTTGCATTACCAAACATAAACCTGAGGGACATTTCCTAATATTTTCAAGAGCGGAAAAGGTCACTTCTGTTTTTAGTTTTATTTTATATTGGCAAGGACAAAACTTCATTGAGAATCCTAATATCAGAAAAATATAATGAAAACAGACGTTACGTACTCGTTCAACTCGCCCGCACATTTAATTTCAGTTCCAGTTTTGCAAGGAACAAATGAATGGTTTATGTTATATCTAATTACATGAATCCCTTAGTTAATCCAACTAACACTTAGATAAGTTGATAAACGTGGCTTGAAACATGCTTTGAGGCAAGAAGTCTAACTGTTAGATGGTTCGATAGGAAAGCCGATGGTGATTTGACGAGTAATTGATTCTGTCCTTATAACCATTCTTGGAGCGTTATAATGATTTCTGCTTTTTAGAACATAGGAAAGGTGGGGCATTTAAAGATCACAACTAAATAACTTAAAGATCTTGGCTAAATAATCTCTAGTTTTTATACATGACAGTGTGAATAAATTTAGTTTATTTGATTTCAAATTGTTCAAATGACTGTAAGCGGCACAGAATAAACATTGTATTTCCGCGCCTAATAGCAATACAGACCTACAAAATAAACCGAGAAAAGTGAAACATTATTAAGTCAGAACAATATGTTGTTCTGAGTCCTCAATAATATATCAAGCATGTGGATAAAATTACCATAAACTTATTTGGTGATTGTTTTACGTCATTATTCTCACTTTTTCTTAATTTCGCACAATTTTTAGGATTAGTATGGTCTACTGGAATACATTTTGTTTCGTCGGTCCTGCGTTCAAACCACATACTGGCAGTTCGGTCGTTACACCTAATCTTATCAAGTATGAACCACCGTGAGGTAGATCTGGATGATTCAATCAACTGTTCTGTTTTTGGTTGCATCAACTATAGAATACACACTTTGAAAAACAGGGCTTACGGATAGGTTAGATGATTCAAGCGAAGTGTGGTGTTTGAATGAACTAATGATACCTTTGTACTTGTTGAATGCTTGATTTCAAATTCTTAATACAATACATTCGTTCGTGCTTGTCTAGTACTTCTTGCTTCAGTTGCGTTATTTCTGGGACTCTTAGTTCGTACTATAATTCAAATAATTCGAAACATTATATTGAGATCGCGATGGAGCCTGTGATGGAAAAGTTAGATATTCATGCAACTTCTGAAGCTTTTGAGGATTATTTGTAAAGGTTAGAAATCCGGGCTATGACCAAGGAAGATGATGAGGATGTTAATATTGTAGCACATTTCGTCATATTCATCGGAAAAGAAGCATATAGCTTATTAAAAACTCTGGCTTTACCGGAAAAGCCCATTTCGCTTCCTTATACAACTCTCAAGGAACTACTGCTAGACTATGTTAAGTATACAAATTTCGAATGCGGTAAAGGAGGAAGATTTCGTAAAATGATTCATGAGGATATAAAAATTCCACTACATTACATCATCCCAACCCAGTGCATACTCAGGGTTATGCAGATAATCCATTGAGGAGTTGCGATGCAGTTCACGAAAATAGGCACAAGGTTGGTCAATGCTTGTCGTGTGGCAGATTCCACTCTTTTAATTCATGTAAATTTCGTACTCCTAAGTGCTCTAAATGTGGTGATATTGGACATATTCAATCAGTTTGTAATACTACTGTTCATCTTGCGGCACACTATGCGTGTTAAGTCACGGGTTTTCGCGCACATGTAACACATTGTCGTGGATTTTTTGTGTCGTTATTAATCAGCCATTAACAGCCTTTTTTCCATCACACCTGAACTTCCGTAATGTTTGTGCTTGCAATATAGTTTTTATTGCAAGTTATAAGCAGTTTGACGTATTTCTTGCTCATCACCTAAGTAAATCTGTAGTTACTGCCAAAGTTTACACTACAAAACAGAGAATGCTAAATTAATGCTTTTGGTATCGAGTTCGTGCTTTTTTATGCAGCATAAGATGACTTATATATGAAAAAAGTTGGTACTCATGCAATCTAACCAACCCACGGCAGATGAAATACGGAATGACCGCCTCTAGTCAGGCCGTTCAAGGTGCTTGAGACGAAAGGGCGGGCACATTCTAAAGGATCTAACGTTTAAACCGTGCCCATCTTGCTGCAACTAATATTAAGTCTTGTAATTCTGATTCTATTAAGTTGAGTATTTATAATGATCACTTATTTTTATCATCGATTTCAAAAGACAGTGTAGAGTCATATGGCAGTTCAGAGTTAAATGAAACTCACAGTTCTTGCGAGACAACAGTTTCTAACCAATCGAATTATCAGATTTCTCATGTTATTGTACCAATTATGGCATTTCCTAACGATTCACATTTTTGTGATGGAATTTCTTACAATTCTGAAGAAAATATGTTGAGTGAACATGATTGTGATCGAAAACCTGATGTAGTTTTGATACATGTTAATTTTTCTAATGATCCTTTACTCTGCAATGACATTCTTAATAAATGCGAGGAATCTATTTCAGAAGAATCAAATTGTGATGATCTATCAAATATTATTTGTCCTCATAATGCATTTGTTTATTGTGGGAAACTTGTTCAATCCGAAGCACAAGTACTAAATGAGCTCGATTTTAATTACAATTCGGATGATTTCATATCAAATGCTGTTCATCCTTATCACAAAGTCACTTCTGATGTTTACTCTAACCAATGTCAGAAATATGTTTTAATTGAAGCCACATCATTCATAACTTGTGGATATAAAGATCCAACATTATTTCGTGGGGCAGGATAGTGTTGAAAAATCTATGGTTCGAATTCTAAATATTAATGATTTCATTACAAAAACCAACATGCTGATTGTATACAATTCCAGGTGAGTCTGTTCCGATTTCGGTTGTTAATTCCAATACTAATGAGCACATTCTAGATAATACCGAGTTTTTATGCAATACACTGTCGGACAGACACGGGCTGAACTTAAGAAGGCGTACAATCGATTACAGACACTTAGACTCTAATTTAAGCTGTTACGGATGTGGTGTTTGAATGAAATAATCATTCCTCTGTACTTGTTGAATGCTTGATTTCGAATTCTTAATACAATACGTTCGTTCCTGCTTATCTAGTACTTCTTGATTCAATTGCGTTATTTCTGGGACTCTTAGTTCGTACTATAATTCAAATAACTCGAAACATTATACAAAGATACTTGCTCAACTAGCTAAAATTGCTTTGAGATTGGAAGTGAATTTCAGGTTCTATCGTTGTATAGCATACCCAAGTAATTTGCTCGGTTCACCAACACATGATCCTAGAAGGTGAACATATGATTACCGAGAAGTTTCACATTCAACATTTAACACGGAGAGATGGTCAGAGATAGTGAACTCAGAAATGATTGATTGAAATGACATGTTTCAGTCTTAAAAGGGTGGCCACACTTTACAACCTATTACTTTTTGTATTCAATATATTACTTTCTCCACAGCTCGAATGTGTTCCCCGGAAGTGCTGAACGTCATATTGCTGATCTTTATGATAGGATTATTTGGTGCAGACAATAGTAGGACTTCCACATAAGATCTTAAAGATTATGTAGTCGCATCATGATAAATCTACAATTTTGGGATTAGGTCCACTATTATGGCAACAAAGATAAATGTGCTTATATCGTTTGAAGTCATATATCTACGTATCATTTTGTATGAATCATATAAACGTGATGGATATAAGATGAACCTAAAAAGTCGAATTGTTTCAGTAAGTATAATTTAAAATCCGTATTTTTAATCAGAAACCCTGTCTGGTATGAATAAAATATATGTGAAAAAAAAACGCATTTGATGCAAGCCTCGCACCAACAACCTGAAAATACATTTTTATCAGTGTATTGACTGAAATTCATCGTTTGATCTTGAATTTAGGAAACGAACTAAAAAAATTAGAATCTGTTCTATTAGGTTAATTTATACACAGTGTTAAACTCGGAAGCCGTAATAAACTCGACAGTTCAGTTCAAAGAATTATTCAGTCGTGAATTCCAGCTCAAGTATTTAAAAGAAGAGATTGACCAGGTATGTGAAGGACTCTACATCTTCCAGAGTTTCGCCATCAAGAGTGATTGGATTGCTGTTCTCCGCTTTGAATTTGAGGACCTTAGTTTTCCCTTTGTGTGTGCTGAGGCCTACTGATGCAGAGACTGCTGCTACACTGGCTGTCTTCATCTGTTCGTGTGTATGAGATAGGAGGGCTAGATCATCTGCGAAGTCCAAATCGTCTAATTGATTCTGAGCTGTCCATTGTATTCCGTGTTTTCCTTCAGATGTCGAGGTCTTCATAATCCAGTCGACCACCAGAAGAAAGAGGACGGAAGAGAGTAAACAGCCTTTTCTGACTCCGGTCCTTACTTGGAATGCATCTGTCAGCTGTCCTCCATGCACTACTTTGCATTGTAGTCCGTCGTATGAGTTCCGGATAATATTGACAATCTTCTCAGGAGATCCGTAGTGTCGAAGACGTTTCCATAACGTCCTCCTATCTACACTGTCAAATGCCTTTTCATAATCAATGGAGTTGATGTACAGTGATGAGTTCCACTCAACTGATTGTTCGACGGTGATCCGTAGTGTCGCAATTTGATCAGTGCACGACTGATCCCTACGGAATCCAGCTTGTTGATTTCGAAGTTGGGCGTCTACTGCTTATTTCATCCGGTTCAGCAACACTCTGTTAAAGGCTTTCCCTGGTACTGACAGTAGTGTGATGCCTCTGTAGTTTTCACATTTGCTCAGATTTCATTTCTTTAGAATCTTGATGAGGTGTCCTTCTTTCCAGTTCATCGGCACTTGTTCCTCCTCCCAAATCTTCTTGAATAGAAGATAAAGCATGCTTGTGGTTACCTCAATGTCTGACTTCAGTGCTTCAGCTGGTATAATGTTGGGTCTTGCTACTTTCTCTTTCTTGATTTGTCTGACGGCCATTCTGATTTCTTCCGTCGTTGGTGGGTTGACATCTATAGGAAGATCTATGTTTGCTGCTTCGGTGTCCGGTGGATTCATTGGAGCCGGCCTATTCAGTAGTTCCTCGAAGTATTCTACCCACCTGTTCCGCTGTTGTTGAATTCCAGTGATTGGCCTACCTTTTTTGTCCTTGACTGGTCTCTCTGGTTTACTATATTTCCCTGCAAGTTTCTTCGTTGTATCGTAAAGCTGTTTCATAT